TAGTATAAAACCTGTCGTACTTCTCTCTAAAAATACAAGATCCGGTTCCCCCCTCGAGTTCAGAGCTCATAAGTCGAGTTCGCCCTGCGTCTAAGCCTCTAACTGCGTCACTTCGTCCCTCGCTGCGTAACCTCGAAACCTCGTCCACTGCGTTTACTCGTCGATACCGTCTCGACGAACCCTTCGACTTCGACTATTGTCGAAGAAACTGCGAACCGCGTCCTAGCTAAGTCCCCCCTATCGAATTGTCTCTTTCTTCTACGATTCTTCGAAGAGCTCTCCCGAGCTTCGATCGTCTCCACTAACCATCCACAGCCTCCGAGGAGCTTCGACGACGTGTCGAAGCCACCTCGTAGCTTCCCCATTGTTCGTAGCCTTTTCCGAAGGCGTTTCTCGTGTTCACTCGAACCGCGGGACACCTTGCTGCTAACTCCCCTCTCACTAGACTATAATCCGTCTCTCTAGTCCCTTTAGGTCGCACCCAGGTTAGGGGTTAGGGTTTCGTAGGTCGTATCACCGTCCTCGAGTGCGACAGGTTCCTATCGCAGCTGCGCATCTATTGGTTGATCAACACGTCGTTGACAACCATCGAGCTCAAGGTGCAGGTTGCACTAAGCCTGCTCGACGGTGATGCCTGCACTTGGGCCACGCCCTACTTCGCCCAGCTCGTATCAGTACAGCTAGGTGTCCAAGGAGTCACGACCCCCTTCGCAAACGAGGCAGCATTTGCTACAGCCTTCAAAGCCCGCTTCGGCAACCTCGATGACGAAGCAGCGGCGCAGGTGGAACTGGCTAAGCTCTGCGCAGATAAATTGGTCCGCGAAAAACGCACCGCGGCGGAGTTCTCTGCACTGTTCAAGGGCCCGGCGGACCGTTCCGGGTATGGGGACTTGGAACTGCGCGACAAGTACCTAAGCGGCATCCCCTCCCGTGTCTACCGCAAGATTGAGCTCGAGATGTTCGCCACGTGGAAAGACGCTGACAAGCGCGCCACGGAGGTCGAACAGATCCTCGATATCAGCCGGGCCCGTCGGCCTGAGTTGAACAATTTCTTCTCGGCTCGAGGTCGAGGACGCGGCGGGGCACGTGGTGGTGCGCCCCAGTCACATGGAGCTTCGGCCAGCATCAACGCGGCCGTCGTAAAAGGCAACTTCCCTGGCAATTGTTACAGCTGTGGGAAGCAAGGGTACCGACACTTCGAGTGCCCCAACTGTAAGGACAAGCCTTACACAAAACGCGCCGACGCGCGGGCTACGGTTGCCTCGGGTTCCACCCAGGCGGCGACAAGCGCCCCCGTCACTTCATCCTCGGCAAGAACAAGCGCCGCTTCAGCGAAATCAGATAGTTCCGAGCTGGCGGACTTAATGGCACAGATGAAGTCGATGCGCGAGGAGCTGGAGCACTATCGAGCGCTCAAAGAGGAGTCTTTTTGATCCGGTCCGCGCTTTGTGCCGCACGCGTCGGACCTCGTAATAACAATTTGTACAATGTATTGGCGACCACGAATGTTTACGAGTTGGACCATGGGTCCCAGCACTTCCACATCCCAGTACACCTCAAAGGAGAAAGACGGCACAAGGATATAATTGCAATGGTGGACAGCGGAGCCACTACGAAGTTCATCAACAAACGTTTCATCACAGAGAATCGAGTACGAACACGGAAATTGAAGGAACCAATCCCGCTTTACAATATCGATGGAACGCTCAATAAAGATGGAAGCATCTCGGAAGTAGCCATGCTACAGATGCAGATAGGAGATCACGTCGAGAAGACGGTGTTTACGGTCACGGACATAGGTCCAGAAGATGTGATCGTTGGGTTGGATTGGCTACGAGAGCACAACCCTGAAATTGATTGGGAGTCGGGCTCCCTCAAATTGTCGCGGTGCCCTGAAACGTGCAACACCAGGAGAACTGGCCGAATGGAGCAAGCAGCGACTGCGTGTGATACGGGGGTCAGGCCCACGGCGCGCAGGCGTTCGCCGAAGTCCAAACGGTCGGTCATAGGTGCCTGCCGGAGCAAGGTGCTGCCGGACTTCGAACCCAAAGAAGATCCGGTAGAAGTCGAGTGGGACGAAGCCGACTTGATCGAAGCCTGGGAGCAAGGCATTACGCTTCCCGGCACTCCTCAACTGTTCATCGCAGCAGGACATATGTACTCCCAGCTGTTTGCTGAGGAGGAGATCAAGAAGAAAGTCGTTAAGACTGCAGAGGAGTCAGTACCCGAACAGTATCACGAGTTCCTGAAAATCTTCTCCAAGGAAGCATCAGAACGACTACCGGAAAGAAAGCCGTATGATCACGTGATCGAACTCGTGCCCGGCTACTCGACGTTCCATTCGAAGGTATACCCCTCGTCGAACAACGAGCAAGAGGAGCTGGACAAGTTCCTAAAGGAGCAACTGGCTAAAGGGTACATACGGGAATCGAAGTCGCCCATCTCATCCCCCTTCTTCTTTATCAAAAAGAAGGAGGGGACGCTTCGACCCGTACAGGACTATCGCCGGTTAAATGCGATCACGGTCAAAAATCGCTACCCTCTGCCGCTGATCGCCGAGATGGTAGATAAGCTCCGCGGTGCCACGCTCTTTACGAAGTTTGATGTCCGATGGGGATATAACAACGTCCGGATCAAAGCCGGTGACGAGTGGAAGGCGGCCTTCGTGACCAACCGAGGGTTGTACGAGCCCCTGGTGATGTTCTTCGGTCTCACCAACTCCCCCGCAACCTTCCAAGCGATGATGAATGACATCTTCCATGATCTCATCGTCGGCGGGAAGGTCCTCGTGTATCTGGATGACATACTCATCTTCTCCACCAATCGAGAGGAGCATGATAAGGTCATGCGCGAGGTCCTTCGACGCCTTCAGGATAACGATCTATTCCTGAAGCCTGAGAAGTGCGAGTGGAACATTCCTAAGGTCGACTACGTCAGCTATGTGTTCGGTGGCGATGAGGTAGCAATGGATCCTGCAAAATTGAAAGGAATTAATGAGTGGCCGGCACCCCGGAACAAAAAAGACGTTCAGAAGTTCCGGGGGTTCTCCAACTTTTACCGCCGCTTCATTAAAGACTTTGCCAAGATCTCGCGACCACTCGACCGGCTCACAGGGAACGATCCATGGCATTGGGGCGAAGAGGAGCAACATGCCTTCGATGAGCTCAAACGGCTCTTTGCCACGACTCCGGTCCTAGCGCTGTACGATCCTAATCGAGAAACGCGCATTGAGGTTGACGCCTCGGGCTACGCCACTGGCGGCGTGTTGATGCAGAAGCAGGATGACGGCAAATGGCACCCAGTAGCCTTCCAGTCCCATGCAATGGATCCGGCGCAGCGGAACTATGAGATCTACGATAAGGAAATGCTTGCGATCATTGAGGCATTAGATGACTGGCGCCACTATCTCGAGGGATTGCCCAATCAGTTCGAGATCGTCACCGATCACAAGAACCTCGAGTACTGGCGCACGTCCCAACATCTCACGTGTCGCCAAGCACGCTGGTCGCTATTCCTGGCTCGCTTTGACTTCCGCATCACGCACAAGGCCGGAACGTCGAATGGAAAAGCTGATGCCCTGTCACGTCAATCAGACCATCAGATCGGCGATGAGGACGATAACACCGATCAGGTGGTTCTCAGACCCGAAAGATTCCGCATCGCCTCTGCCCGACGCGGTCATGCCTCGGTGACGGCTGATCAGTCGCTTCTGAAGCGCATCAGGGAGTGCTCGGAGAAGGATCGGGAAGTGGCCGAGGCACTTGAAAAGGTGCAGAACCTTGGGCCACCCCGGCTGCAGAAGGGCTTTGAGGAGTGGAATGCCAAACAAGGGCTTCTGTTGTTCCGTGGGTGCGTATACGTCCCAAAGAACGCGGAGCTCCGGCAGAATATAGTCAAGATCCACCACGACTCGCCGATCGCCGGACATGGCGGTCGCGCCAAAACTCTCGAGCTCGTGTCACGGAACTACTGGTGGCCAGGAGTGTCTAAATTTGTCAATGAGTACATAAGCACCTGCGACGTGTGCAACCGTACCAAGACATTCCCTGCTAAGCCCCAGGGTCCGCTGAAACCGAACGAGATCCCCGAGCGCCCATGGCAGATCATCACCACCGATATGATCGTCAGGTTGCCAAAGTCTGATGGATTCGATTCGATCCTGGTCACCGCCGACCGCTTTACCAAGCAGGTCCACTTCTCGGCCTGTCATGAGACCCTGACGGCAGAAGGTGCAGCAGATCTGTACATCTGCGACGTATTCAAGCATCATGGGGCCCCGGCCAAGGTCATATCAGACCGAGGTCCCCAGTTCGCTTCGAAGTACCTCCATGCGGTGTACAAAGGACTGGGAATCGAGCCGGCGCTGTCTACAGCATTCCACCCTCAGACAGACGGCCAGACTGAGCGCTGGAATCAGGAAATCGAGCAGTACCTGCATGCTTTCACAAGTCACAGGCAGGATGATTGGGCGAAGCAGTTGCCGCTTGCGGAATTTGCGCTGAACAACCGAGTTCACTCTGCAACCGGGCACTCCCCCTTCTTCCTGCATCAGGGGTACCATCCTGAGATCCAAGTGCGGATCAATCCGATGTCTGCGATGCCTGTGGCCGCTGATCGGCTCAAGATCCTGAAGGAGATCCGGGATGACACACGCTCTGCGCTTGAGCTGTCAGCCGAGCGCATGAAGGTGTACTATGACAGGCACGTGCAGGAGGCACCGGTCTTTGCGCCGGGGGACAAGGTCTGGCTTGACGCTTGGAACCTTAAGCTGAAACAGCCGAGCAAGAAGCTCAGTCCCAAGCGCCTTGGACCATATGCCGTGCAGCGAAAGCTCGGAGACTTAGATTACAAATTGGTTCTGCCGAAATCGGTGCCAGTACACCCGGTGTTCCATGTCTCCCTGCTCAGCAAGTATACGCGTAGTGATATCCCGGGCTGGGAGCCAGAGGAGCCGCCTACGATCGAGGTCGAGGGCGACGAGGAGTACGAGGTTGAGCGGATCAAGGATTCGAGGATCTTCCGGCGTCAACTGCAGTACCTCGTCAAGTGGAAAGGTTATGACGACTCGCATACGTCATGGGAACCGGCGCGCAACGTCGCGAATGCGCCGGCCCTCATAGCCGACTTCCACCGAAAGAATCCGAATGCCCCTCGTCGCCTCAACGCTGCTACCTTTGGTGGTCTCAACTTTCAGCCAATGCCTTCGCCGCTGACTGAAGCACGATGCCGCTCCGGGTGGGAGATGGGCAAGGGCGCCTCGCATGAGGTCATGCGCCGTTGAGGGGGGGGTAATGTCACGAGTTGGCACGGCGTCTAGCCGTCTTTTAATTTTTTCCTTTTCGCGGGCTCGAACCCACGACCTCTGTACTACATACCTGATATGGACGCATCACTACCTACTGTACGATTAGATTAGATGGGGCGGCAGTGCGCGGCACAGCTCGGGCTCCGCTGACGCAGCCGCTGTGACTCACCGGCCCCCAGGGCCGCATCAGCATGCTGCGCACGGACCCGCTACGCACGGACCAGTGCACACAGCCTCCCCTAAACTTCCCCTGTATATAAGCCAGCCTCTGCTGCCCTAGGGACCTCAGTTTCGACCTCTTGTCCCTAGGTCAGTAAGCCTTCAGTTGTATTCCTTTTTCCTTACCTAACTAATATACTATCTTGTCCCTAGCCTTAGGTTTGAGCATCGCTCACCATCGCTTCGGTGAGAATCAGTCGGACGCCCCCAGCTTTTAGGTTTTCCCCTGTCGCTTGACCTCAAGTCGCGACACATGGAGTCATACAGTATTTATCTTATTGGTGCTGTGTGTTTATGTTGGCTCAAGTACATGATGCTAATGTGACTCCGGCAGACAATGAGGAAATGTTGGTTCTCTGGATTGGGTCAGATGCCTCACCACAGCTGCTGAAGGACTTGTTTAACGTCAACAAATTCATGCAGGTCTGTTGGAACAACCGGGCGAGCACATGCCCAACTACCAGCTCACCAACATGCCGCGCTGCAGCACGATAGTGCCTTGTTACTACGTACCTGATTTAGATAAGAGTTCCCACATGTAATTACTTCGCGCATTTGCCTCCCCGCCCCGAGGACGAGACAAACTGCTTCATATTTGATCTTCTCCCATGCCACTCACTTCCGTAAACCTTCACACTTGCTGTTCGAACCCAACACCAATGTTTGTTTCTACAAGGTCGACATGTATCTCGTCAGTGGCTTCTCCTATCCGAAAATCTAGAACCGCTGCTGAGATGCCTCGTGCCTCCTGACACAGACACAGCTCCCACGTCTCCCGACGCGGCTGTCGATGCAGGTGCACAACATCTTCGCGCACCGGCGCGCACAGCGCGGGTGGACGCCGAGATTCCTGATAGCGCGGCGGAACATGGACGCCGCGGAGATCGAGTTCAGCGACATGCTTGTCGAGGACCAGAACAATGCCGCTATGTCGTACCTCGACTGTGCGTCTTCTCCTGTCTCGCCCTCCGCGCGACGTCACGTACTGACCAAGTTTCCGACAGACTTGTGCCACGTGCACAGGCTGATCAACCAGGAGGTGCGTGTGCTGTTGTGTCTGGCGCTGACGATAGCTTTACTGTCTGCAATGCACAGATCTCCGGAGGGTCTGCGGTGAATCATAGCTTCAGAGCACCATGGTAGTGATGATACATGGGAGAGTGCTGGTGACGCGCGTATCGCGTATCTAGCCGCTGTATGTAGCCTGAATACTAGTAGTACCAGGAGCGAAACTCCGCGGCTGGTCCGAGCAGATCAGTGCTGCGATCCTCGTTGCTTCAGCCTTCCTCGTTATATGTGTTCGCTCCAGTAGAGTCCAAATACGCGATCAAAACGACCTCCGCGGCCTCTGCCATTGTTCCCTGTCCCTGAGCGTTATCTGACGTGGGTGTGTGTCGTGTGAAGACCGTGGGCCGTGGGGGCTAGTAGATGAAAGCCTATACCTGATCTCAGCGTGGGGCCTTCCTAATACGGTTGTAGACGACTGCCCTCGCCGATCAATTGATGCGCCGGCTTCCGTGATCGCCTTATCGTCTTCGACGTTGGCCACCACGATGGACGACGTGCTCGAATCACGGCAGCGCTATTTGGCGACGTCTTGGACGACGACGGTACAATTCACTACGGACAGCTTGTTCTGACCGTCGCACCCAAGGTAGAGTCGGTCGTCTTTCAGTCAGGGTGATTTATAATAGGATTGACGGGCGTGTGTGTTAGGTAGGCGAGGTGAATAGGCATGCGTAGCTAGCTCAAGGACGAATGTCTGAATAACCCAGCATCTCTAGGCCAACACACTGCTCGCCGATCATCTATTTCACCGTCCCTTTTGCTCGCAGAGCAGATTGAGCGGGGGCTCATTCCATTGAGTGGCCAGAGCAGTGAGTTTTGTATGCGATGAAGCCGGCGACCGCAGAAATCAGCATATCCCTGGCAGTCGTCGAACTCGGGGCCGGATGTGTGCTCCCCTCGCTTCTGTCGTCGACACTGTCGCCGCTGCCGTCTGGTCGTGATCACCGACTATCCGGACGCCACGATCCTGGGCAACCTTGAGAAAAACGTGGAGAGGAACGAGCAGGCGATTTCCGACGGGTGCAGAGTGCACTACCGCGGATATGAGTGGGGGCAGGACGTCGCTCCGCTGCTGTGAGTCTGCCTGTCCCCACCCGGCGGTCTTCTCCACGCGATCCTCACGTTCGCACGCAGGGCGCTGCTTCCGGCCGGGCACGACGGCTTCGACACCGTCATCCTGTCCGACCTGCTGCACTTTGACCGGGCGCATGACGCCCTCCTCGCCTCTCTCGCCGGCCTCCTCCGCCGCGCTCCCGGAGCCCGCGCGTACGTCGCCGCGGGCACGTACACGCCTCCCCACGTGTGCGACCACTTCCTGCAGATTGCCGAAGCGGTGGGGCTCGTATGGGAAGAGCGCCTGCCCGACGGCGCGGTCAAGGGCGCGCTCCCTGTCGCCGCCGGCGGCCTCAACACAGAGCAGTTGGACGTCCGCAAGAGCATGTGCAGGTCGTGGGTCGCGCGCTGGTCAGACGCCGCGCTCGCGGCTGGCGGCTAGCATGCGGACAGGTGCTGGGCGCCGTAGGCCGACGCCCGAGAATCTGGTCTTGGGATTTTGCAAAGCCTGCCACTCGGCCTAGCTATATATCGTACGTGGACGCGTGTCCTTCGTCCCCTCTCTCCAGTCAGTGACCACGCTCTTCCAGCTTTCCCTCTGTCACTATTACAGCGGCCAAACACTCTCCCGTCAAGCTCAAGTCTGATGTCCCCGCCGAGCAACGGCCTCTTCCATAGGCTTGAGCAATCTGTCGGCAGGTCCCTGCCTGTATACTTGCCCGTCGATAGCAGATATTTCCAGGAGATTGTCGCGGTCAGTTCACAGTACTGCATTCTCTTGACGTTGGGGCAAACATTGGGCCCGCTAGTTAGTGATCGGAGGTCGTGATCAACTGATCTTTAAAATGATTCTGGTGTTATCTCAGGCAATATCGCCTAGCTGGCTACAACGCTACGGAGTCCATTGCCTTTCTCCACACTGTCGGTGGCGGTCGGTTGTCTGGTGAGGTACGCAAACAGCACTTCCAAACACCCCATCGAATGCCAACCTTTGCGTGTCATTGTACGGCCGCGGAGAGCAGCATCAAACTCTGCCGTCCTGTGAACCCTCCGGAGTGCGTAGGGTCAAGCCCCATCAAGTGGCATTACGTCTTCTTGAGCGCGTGTGTGGCGAGCTGCCACACTCCGGTACGGGATCATGGAGCTGGCCGCAATTTCATATGCCGCTCAGCGGCAGGTCTGTACATCAGCGCTCGGCTGGACAATAATCCCCCGATGGCTGCGAACGAAGGGCCCCAGACATTTCAGCCTCGTCGTCCTGCTGAGGGACATGGGACCCCCACAATGTGACCGCTCCCCGTCTTGAATCGCTGTCGCATTACGCGTTCTCGGGTGGGTCATCGGGCAGCGACCCCCCTTCCTTTGCCATGCTCCGAAGCAGGGAGCTGCGTTGACACATTTTTCCATAGATCGTCCGTGTCTTCGCTGCTGGACTTCACTTCGCGTTCGCCAGCCGTACGTGATGACACCCACTTCCTCAACGCTACCCATAGTCATCGAACTGCCGGAAGGTACCTTGCGTGGGGACAGGAATAGTTTTGCCCCTGGGGGCGGCGGTGGGAAAAATTATCACAGCGGCCCTTCTCAGGGACCGCCGCCCCAGAACTCTCGACAGTCCAAGTCGCCGGCTCCGCTGGCGCAGACTGTCTCGGCGAACACGGTCGTGCACGGGTTCTGATATAGTTTCGTCTTCGGACATCGCAGAGATATTACACGTCGCTGCCGCAGATTGGACAGCCGTATGCCCGGTAGCCAGCCGTCTGCGTTCCCCGTACGCTTCGCGGAGCGGAGCACACGCCGGCGTGTTGGTGCGCCGTCAGTAACTATTAGAGCGGCGATGTACCTGTGCCTTGGAACGCCGTGTGAGCACTCAGCACCCGACACGCCTTCGCGGTCGGGGCGCGTGACTGGCGATAAGCTGTAGGTTTGCTGCGGCCGCTAGGCCACTTGCTGTCGACGCAACGCCAGGAACGTGCATATTGGACGGCGTCGTCTCGCAGACCCGGATGGCGTCGTCGCAAGGCTTGTGGCGGCGTGTGCTGCTCTACGCGCATGCCGACGGTCCGTGCGTGCTTCGCATATTTCTCGTGGGCATCGCAGTTGTGGTCTAGCCGCTAGTCCCCCTCGTCACGTCTACAGCTCGACGGCCAACAGGGGCAGGGCGGTCAAGGCGGAAGAACGATCTTTCCTTGCACAGCGGATAGTCTCGATGCCGGAGGCCTGGTAGCGATGAAGCGTTCCTGGCAGCGTAGGGTCCGAGACGCCGGGTACAGCACCCGATACGCAGTAGTGTTCGTCCTAGTCAGACAGCGATCTTACGGGCATCTCAGAGCCCGTCCGCCGAGGCTTAGCGATCAGCATGGCATGAGGGTTTCTTCGTTCCGGGCCGGCTGGCGGCACACATCGCGGCTGGGTTCACCGTCCATGGGCACGATGTTCCTCCCCGAACGACGCCCGGGCCCCCTCCCGCACGAAGCGCAGGACTACCTCGCCGCACTACCGCACCCTCGCGTGCATTACAGAACGGTTGCTTGCGTGGGATTGCATTGCATCCGGTATCGGTAGAAGCCACAGCAGGCGCTTTACGCCTGCTGTTGCCGTAGCGGCACAACTCTGCGGCGGCGCCATGCGTTAGATTGAGAGTCGTCCGCATTCGATCCTGGAGCGACCCCCGCACGGCGTTCGAGGATAGCTGGCTTCTTTTGTTGGGCAGACGGGGCGGTGACGCAACCATCGTGCCAGAGCATAAGACATCGGCATGGCGCCGTGTTATGTGTGAACCGTGGCCCGGGACAACATCTTGAGGTCTTGCGAGCAGGTCTCATGAGCGTATCGTGTCGTCTTCGTCTTCGTTCGAAACCTCTGCCCCGCCGGTAGAGCTCGCGTTACCTGTCGGCCTTCCTAGTGCTTCCGCGGCGTCGAGGAGACGTCAGAGACTCCGGCTTCCATGGAAGTTGGTGGTGCATTGACATACGGAGGTATCCACAGTTCGTGTATCTCGTCAATGCAAGGCACGTCAGCGGCGGAGAGTATGGCGGCATCCTGCAAATGACCTGCGACCAGATTACTAGCCGGCGTAAAGTTTGTCGGGATGCTGTTAGTGGAGTGCGCCTAGGCGATTTGCAGGCATTTCTTTCAGCATATGGAGGTTTTGTTGTACTGTTGGTGGGCGGGGTGCGGACCGCTGTCATACGGGTTGTAAGCTGCGGCAGGCAGCCGGTCGCTGAGAGTCTGCCGTTGAACATACCATCATTCTTCGTGCCCTGCAGAGCGCTTTGCCTTCGAGGTCGTTCGTCGCAGTCGCTACAATCTGTATCGTCATCATCGAGACGGGGGAATCAAAGCAGAAGGCAGGTGCATACACGCACCCGACTGTGCACCAGGATGCCAGGACATGCGAGTGGATTGTGTTGAGACGGCTCAGGGTGTGCCATTGTAGCCGCCGTGATGCCAAACATAGCGCTTTGGTCGCTAGGTGCGGGCACGTTATTCATCGCGAGGTCCGGTGCATTGGCCACTGCGTATCAGATGCAGCATCAGCCGAGTATTTTATTTTCTTGTCCGCATGGTAGGGCATGGCGCTACCTTTCTCAAACACTTGTTCTATTTTCAGGCTTCACCTCCAATGAAGATTGACCAGCAACAGTACGGTCCCGAATGACGTCCAGCTTGAACCCGACTTGGTAAGCACACGATCGTCGTCATCCTGTCTCTGTTGACCTGTACATATGAGGGATCACTGTGCGCTGAGGCGCGTCAGACCTAATAAGGACTGTCTGTTTCCGCGCCGAACCTTAGGGCGCTGCGATGATCCGGACCTTCCATGTGGCCTTCGTGTTTTAGTTTGTCCACACGAATGTCCACACTTTGCGCTGGCGGAAGTACAATCTTCCGCCGCACCATTCTCTACGGGGGTAAGCTCTGTCCACCCGACGAAAGCAGGAAGCTCACGTACGGTGGCCAGGCGTAATATGCAATGCCAACACCGTGACCGCGGGAATGTTCTGTTCGTTCTGGCCGGCCTCGGGAATAACTTGAAGGCCGGAGCCGTCTTCGGTGGCGCACTCCCGTGAGGCCGTTCTGTTGCATGGCTGTCAACGCAGCACAGTGACAAGCTGTGACCACGTGCAGCGCATCGAACACCACGAGAGGGCAGTCCGGACTGTATTATTACCATTCAATACAACATTCCATCACTCTCCAGGACGAAAGCTGTCTTTACTGTCGTGATCCTCGGTGTCCGTGGCACCGGCCCTCCTCGAAAGCTCCGCGCCGGCCACCAAGAGCCTGTGCAGAAGCTGCGCCAAGCACTTCGACGTAAGACGTACCACTCGAGACCAGATAACAGACGGCATGTCCGCGGCCCCGTTTGGCCTCTATCCCTCACGCCGGTGGATCGAATGCGATCACGAACCGCGCGCGACCTCCACCCTGCTCTGTTATCAGACCTTCGTGAATCTGCCATGGCAAAAAGGGAAGGCTCACATACCTAGTCGTACGAGTGTTTATCTTATCTGTCTTCTCTACGGTCTGATTCACTGGATAGTGATTGATGCCGGCCTGCCAAGTGTCGGGGAAAATGCACCAAATTTTCTTTCGCAATGCAGTCATATCAGCAAAAGCAATTAACTAGCGTGGAACACCAGTGATTGCATGTGTAGCGGCTGGCCTGGGCTACACCTGCGCGTCCGACTCCTTTGGCCTCCGGACACCGTGTGTGGCTGATTTATCGTGATCCTCGGACGTCAGCCACATGTCAGCCCGTCTTTCGAGATCATGATAATTAATTGTTAGATGTAGCTTATTGAACAGTGGCAATGGACGGGTGCGCCGACCTCATCGTAGCGCGCATCAATACAGTCGAGCATCAATATCGCGTGATGGCTTCGCTCAGCAGATGGCCTCAGTGCTCGACGCACACGGACATGAGGCGCGATCTGGAGGTGGACCCATGTGTCGGTGTGTCCATTTGATGGTCCCCTTCCCACGGACCGTTCCTGCTCATAGTACATTTCCGCACCGTTTCAGGTCGCCACTCTCGTCCATCGTGGCCGAGGCCAAGCGAGCCATCCGCTGCTATCAACAGCATCTGTCTGTGTGTCCTGCTTCCAGAGTGTTGCCATCGGTCGCCTCGAGATGGATCACGTCCACCGGCGCTGCCACCGAGTCGTTCTGGAATACTGGCGCTATACGCGACGCGTCAGCGCGTGCATCGCAGTCCCGACGTCTACATAGCGAATCGCAGGGGCTGTGGTTGTCGGTGACGGTGGCTGCCTCCGATCGCTTCCGTCGTCGGTACAAGCTTGGCCCGGTAGCAGTAATCGCTGCACCCGGTGGGAATTCACGTCCGAATTCACGAGATCTGCTCGCGAGCTGCATTGCCGCTGTGCATCTTCTCGGCCGCCCATCTCTCGTTCCATCTTACCTCGAAATTCGCGGAGTTGCAAATGAAATTCCGCGCTCCACGCTCCACGCCTCATGTGATTCGACATTTTTACTCAGCGTGAATGAGCACCCGCTTTACAGCGCAAATCTACATTGTATCTGCGGGGACAATGCTTTCTGCGAGTTTGGCGCACGCACCGACCGCCCGGGTGGAGTCGGACCCTGTAGGCCTGTCAAAAATGCCAGAGAGCTCTAAACACACTGCGTGCATGAGCCAGGCGATCGTGCCCCGCCGACTTGTGAGTCTCACGTACAAGTTACCGGTGGCGGATGCCTGTTCTGATGCCAGCCGTCGGCCAGGGGCTCGCCACGCCCACGTTTATGTCACCATCCCCCGGGAGAAATGGGGTTGGCGGACGTGGCGGACGTCGCATCGCGTGCTTGCGGTCCCCATGATCGCACGCACGACAACGCCCCGGTACCTCCTCAACTCCTTGTGAAAGCTTAAATATTACCTTTCAAGCGCATACGCTGAACCGTGCCTAGGTCGCTCGCCGCGCATTACGATCGCGTGGATGGTCCTCTGTAGCGATATGCAAACGCTCGTAGGCGTACATCCCATCACCCCTTGCTGAGCACGAATCACTATTAACATGGTCCAGCGCAACCCCCGAGCGTCCTCAAGCGCAGACACTGGCTGCAGCGCGGAAGGTGGCGAACACATGCCGTCGGATTTTGGATTACAGTTACGACAGGGTTCAATCATGACAGCTTCGCGGTGCAGGGACAGATGCCAGCATGCCAATGTACATTATGCGGCCGTATGCGGTAATTATTTGCATCCAGGAAAATCGTACTTACCGCGCGGCAAACGAGCGAGAGTTGTTAATCGGACGAGATCTGTCACTCGGCGGCTGTCGCTGGGGCTGCCGTCAGCATATCAATGGTGCGCCCTTCAAGCCTAGGCCACCGCGGTGGTCTCGGTCGAGCCCGGGGTCGTGGCGGGGGCTAATGCCACCAAGAGGCAGCAGACAAATCGTCGCACCGTTAAATCATATTGTCGCGATAACGTCGTGTCGGCATGCGTGGCTGAAGGGAGCGGTGCCAAGAAGGAACGCTGGACGCGGCGCCCTCCCGACCGCCCTTGGCGTGGCCGCGGCTGACGCTTCTCGGATCGATGCGCACTCGATCCGCGGCCTGGGTCCGAGTGCCACCGACATTGTCGCCACGACCACCGCCGGACGCCTTGATATTGATCACGACAGTGGCCCGGGGGATGGGCGAACCTTAGTCTGCATCGCCTGGCGGATCGCGATAGGATGTACATGCTTTTGTGCAAGATGTCGCGGGACGACATGTCCCGTCGCGCATGTATGCGCGCGCAATAAAGTCGCTCGACAGCTCGTGTCGGGTGGGAACACAGAAGCCGCTGAGGACCGCGCCGCACCCTCGGAGGGAAAGAAGGATGCCTATAGGTACTCAGGGTGCCTGGCGCGACTCAACGAGCAGTCGAGAGGCTGAATGTCGGGCAACACGTAACGTCAGAGTCCGAGGCCAGCGGCAGTGGAACGCAGAGCGAATAATGGAAATGGGCGGCACGTACCTAGATTTACGTGCTGATAAGGCAAGCCCACTGGTGCAGGTCGTACCCCGCGAGCGACCAAGCTTCCTCGACGTCAATTTCGGCACCATCGCCCCGGAAACGTCTGCTCGACGTCCATTAGTCATTGTGCATAAGGTTAAAGGGCAGGAGACCGGGCGAGGGGCGTCGATGGGAAATTCAGGTGAACACGCGTGCTGCAATGGTCGCACTGCGCGGCCGGTCCATTGCGCGTCGTAGCCCAGTAGCCCAGTGTTCCGAGCGACGAGCGACCAGTCGCCAGGCGCAGGTGCCCACCCATGGCCCGTGGCTACGGAAGCTTCAATCCGATAGCCTCAGGCATGCTATCAGAACGCCTCCCTGGCCTATGAGCCGCGCGGGACAACAGGCACCGCGGTTCCGGAACCTTCGCTGCAAAAACACGCACAGCGCCTTCCGCATTCGACGAACGTGCCCACCGCCGACGACGCAGCAACCAACGCACTTGCAGCGCAGGGTACGGCGGGGTCCCCCCTGCGTTGCCGGCGATCTGGCGATAACGCGCGTCGAAATTCCTCCGGGCGCGAGATATACGTCGACGATGTGCCAGATCCGGATCACGCGCCGTGAACAGCTGGGTGATTGGTCTCCGCACTGGCGCGAGGCAGTCTCACACACCGAAGGCTACTGACTTCACGCGGTCACGTTCTTGGAGGCCGCGGATCGCGAAGCGGGCGCTTACGGGACGTCCGCCAGCCATCCGTCACCTCATGCTTGACCACTGCTCCGGCTTCGCAAATGCACCGAAAGACACGGCACGATGAGGTCTAGCGCGACCGCACACACCCCGAGGCCTGCACGATGTTCTGCAAGAGCCTCCGCTTGGTCGCGGACGCACGGGACGGAGTGGTCCCGGCGATCCCGTGTGAGATGTGAACACCTATGATCTGGCGACGTCCACCGGATCTGGCTGACATTGACAGTATGCGTATGCTTCTTCCCCACCACACAATGAGATAGGAGATTGGGGTGCCTGCCGCCGTTTCCCCGGGCCCCGTACGTGCGATCGGCCCTCCTGCGGGAGTTCGTTCGCGCGATGATACTCGCCCCGTGGTACACGCGCGAGGATCCCGGTGGGGAAGCGTGTATAGGAGCTTGAAGTATCAGGTGGTCTGATGTCGTTGGGGGAACAGAGATACGCGCCGAGCGACTGGCGGTCGCGGTCATGCAGCGTACGCCCTTGGCGGTGGCGAGGACAATCATCACGACGAACACCAACACGAGCGAGCATCAACTGTGGCCGGCCTCGGGTCCACATAGATGCATAGACGAACTCATCGACATCGTCCTCGCCGCCACGCAAACCCCGCGCGAGGTAGGCACAGACACACAGCCCGCATCGCAACCTCCCTCACCATGCTGTGCCTGTCCAGCACGGATGCATGGCACCCTGATGCTGGCAAGATTGAGTGCTGCCAGCAGCAGCGCAGCGCCACAGATCTCTTGTAGTCCCCCAGGCTTGGCGCAGAATTAGGATGCACTCGTCATGAGGCCCACGCAACGGAGCTCAGCAGGCGCACGCACACGGTGGGAATGAAACTCTCCCTGCTTCGCAGAATGATTCGCATCGTTCTCGAGCCATTTCCGTGGCCTTGGCCAGTCCCCTCGCACGGTCCACCAATACATACGCTGCGTGCGCGTGGCCCCTCCCCTGCCCCTCCCAGCGAGCGATGGCGCTTCCTGCCAGCACGTGCGCACGCGTATGGCTCTGCAAATGCGACATCGGGGCAGGATGGTACCCATCGACCTCCGGCCATTCCGGGGGGGGCCCCCGCGCGATCGCGAGGTGACACAGCGAAGCCTGTCTGACGAGGCCGACCCTCCACCGGGCTCGCCCGCCCGCACAAACACAGCGAACAGAGCGCGGCAAGCGAGCCAGGAAGCGGCGCGCAGGGGGATAGCGTGCGCCAAGAAGGGTGGACCGGGGCAGGGCTCGATCGTCGGCTGCGCACGTCGAAGCACTGCGCCCATCCGCTGCGGTGACGCGTCTCGCCTTGCCGCCGCCCTGAGCTGGAGGCTCGACGTGCGCCGGGGGTCTGGCCGCAGATCACCTGCAGGCCAGGCAGTTGGCGTGGCGAAGCGGGGAAGGCGGGCCCAGGGGGGCGGAGGGTGCGGGAGCCTTGCGGCGCGGCTAGGACGAGAGTGGGCGAGTTCGCGGGCGGATTTGCAGCGCACGACTCACGGTGCGGAGAGGGCGATCGCGCTATGTCACGGCAGGGGTGGTGCGCGTTTTATGTAAAACATCACAGAGGGGGGGCTTCGCGTCCGCGCAGCACAGGGAATGCCATACGTGAGGACGGTCGCGCTGAGGATTCGCGACCGTCCGCAACCGGTGCGCAGAGGCGCGACGCGATGGGTAGGCGGGTCTCTGCGCTCGGGCTGGCGTGCCTGGCAAGGCAAGACGTGCGCGTGACGGGGCAGTATCAAATGCATCTACACTTGTGATTGAATGACGAGCGCGCAAACGCCGGAGATGGACACAGAGCGCGATCGCCCTCACGCATGCGCATACAACGAAGGAAGGCATCTGCGTATAGATGGCGAGGTCAATTTCGAACAGATCTCTGGCAGCTCGGATTTGGCGCTGGTTTTCGCGCGTCGATTGTAGACAGGGCATGTGCGGCATCATCCGAGAAACAGACGCAGAGGAAACACTGGCCCTGGTGCTAGGTTTGGGTTCAGCTAGCGTGCTGAATCTTGACTAAAGCCCTGGAGGGCATGGCTACGTGAGCATGCACTCGTATGAAGGTTTTGACAGCTCGTGCGACAATCACGATGCCGGAATATGCACCAACTTAGGGGTGGGGGTTCGCGAGTGGATGCGCGCCGGATGCTATCACGGGTGCGGTGGGGCCGCGCGCGACGTGCCAGAAGACGCTGCAGTGACCGTGGGTGGGCACGGTTTACGGGCAGCATACATGTGCAGCGGTGGATTATCGCGCCTAGTACCTGGCTCCCGGCAGGTCGGCACATCGAAGTGTCGGTAGCGTATCATGGACCGATATCGGGAGGGAACCGTCCAAGAGCGGATATTTCTGCATGCCAGATCGTCGGCCGTCGAGTTGGCAGCATGGAACGGCGGTGAAATCAGACAACGAGATCCGATATGTCGATATTGTTGGCACCATCGAGATCAAGGATATAGGTGGAGCTAGTTGGAGGAGCTATATGACGATTTTCGTTTTTGCTGGAGGTGGCCGCGGAGTCGGAGTGCCAAGCGGGTGATCGCGGAGGCATATTTAGCGGACAAATTGGGTAAGTTGGCACAACCAGAATGGGGGTGACTCTGCGGGGCAGGGGAGAAGCTCGTAAACAAGGCCAAAGCATGCGGATCCCACTGGGACGGCTGCCATATATGGACTGGGGCAGGGCGCGTTGAGGAGGGAGACCCTTGGGAGCGCGATGGCACCGAGAAGTCGCGAGGCGAAGACGATCTAGTTGATTGCGGGAAAATGCAAACCCCTAATCTGTCGCGTATGTCGGGTGCGGGCAGGGCATCGCGCAGACTGGGTTCATAAACCCGGCATTCGAGCTGCTCCATTGCCGTCCACCGTCCGTCCCCTGCTATCCACTCGCCCTCGCCAACGTCAACGCTCCCACTCGTCATCTCGTTCCGATCGGCCCGCGCCGATCCTGTCCCCGCCCGATGTCGCTTTCCTCGTTTGCGCCGAGCACGGAGCGTGCGCTGCCGTCCATGGCCTCCTTCACGTCATACTCTGACGCACCCCCGATGTATTCCATGTCCGGCTACTTCAGCGGCGCCCAGGCCGCCCCCGCCGATCACGCGTACCCCGCCGCCGACAGCCAGTACACGTCCTCCTCGCGCACGCACTCTCACTGGCAGCCGTCCTTCCCAGCCTCCTACTCTCCCCTTCCTAGTGTCGACTCTCTCTCCTCCTACTCCTCCTCCTCGCCTCCCGTCATGCCGTACTCCGCCGACTACGACCGCCCCGCCCTCGTAGACTCCCTCCGCGCCCCCGCCTCTACCCGTGCCTACCTCCCCCTCTCCACGCACGACCCCAACCCAGACCCCGCCCCCGTCCCCACCTTCGGCCGAGCCTCCTGGTCTTCTGCTCTCTACATCGTAGACCCCGAGTCGCCGTTCCAAACCACGCCGGCCCCCGCGCCCCCCGCGTCTCCCGCCCGCGTCAAGTCCGAGGAGGACTCCGATGGCGGCTTCATCTTCGAGCTGCCGCCCGCCGGTTGCTCCCCCGCGTCCGCAGGCCCGGCCTTCGAGACGATGCCCGAGGTCCCCCTCCGCGCCACCCACGCGTGCAAGGCCATGCGCGCCCTCATGAGCTCCTTCCGCCTCGACCCCTTCGCCATGCACAACGGCATCCGCTCCGCCGCCGTCACCGCCGCCCCCACCGGCATCGAGGTCGGGCCCCTCCGCGAGGAGCCCCTCCTCTTCGAGTGGCAGGCGCACCTCGACGTGCCCCTCGTCCCCCCATCCCCGTCGTGGTCGGCGCGCTCCCTCAGCCCCATGCGCTACCCCCTCAACGACGAGCCCGAGGAGAAGTGGGTGCCCCGCGTCGACACGACTGCGACGTACGAATCGTTCGAGCAGGACGCCGCGGAGGACGCCGCGTTCGAGCCGCTCATGACCCCCGCGCAATCCCTCGCCTGGAGCACGAGCTACGCCCAGCCAGAGCAGCACACGTCCGCGTATTCCGCGCAGCCGCTGTCCGGTGCGTCTCGTTCACCTCCCGCATGCATATTCCACTGACGCTCTCACCCACAGTCTTCCGCGCGCCCCAAGCTCAGTCCGCGCAATCGCAATCGCAATCGCACTCGCACTCGCACTCGCACGCGCACGCGCACGCGCACTCCCTCCACGCGCAGCACCAGCATCAGCACCAGCCTCACCACGCGCTGCACGCGGAGCGCGACTACCGCAGCGCCATGCCGATCCGTGCGCCTGCGCCCCAGCACCCGCGCTGCACGCAGGAGTACGGCGAGTACGCGAGCGGCGGCGCGCACGGCGTGGCCACCGGCGCGCTCTCGTGGAACCGCAGGCCGGAGTCGTACGCGACGGCGTGCTTCTTCTGACGTCTTGACGCAGCCACCGCCATGCGGCGACTCCGGCGCTGATCCCAGCGCGAAACATATTTCAGGGACGGGACCGAGCCTGCTCGGCACGCCCGCTGCGCAACCGGCAGTGTTAAGAGGACTCACGTCCTCCACCCACTGCGAGCGGAGAATGCAGCGGTCGACGAAAGCAGGACCAGGACGGGGCGGGTGCGGCGAGACGCAGACGGGGTGCGTCGGTTTTCGAGGGGTGCACGAAAACGGCAGATGTAAGTAACGAGCTTCTTGGATAGACGAACGCGCGGCGGGCCCGCGGCGCGCTCTATATACACCATACACTCTCCCATTCTTCACGATGATGCCACACAGCGGACAGATTACACTGTAACTTTGCCACTGCCAAAATGTTCTTTGTACACCATCCTCTCGCGCACACGCCTGTGTGCGGATTATCTGATAATGATAAGTTGCTGGCATGGATCGCAGAATTATGCACGTTGTCAGGAACTCTGGATTTGCGTACGTACAGCGTCGCCCTGCTACCGACCGGCGGTGGTGATGACACCACGTTGCCGGGCAGCACACCGTGAGGGCGGCCATGTCGTGATGCGGCTGTCTCTGGGTTGATTTTCAATATGCGCGGGCAGTGCGGCGGGGCTGCCGTGCTGTAAGTATCCCATATCAAAAGCTTCACTGTACCTGACCCCCTCCCCCTGCAGATTGAGGACATCAGGACAGATCACAGCTTCTGACTGATGCTCCTAACGTGCTGCAGTATCACATCGTCGTGCTCCGTCGCACTCTACGGCCACCAGGCCACAAATAAGCTTCCAGGAAGCGATCACCAACAACCTTCTGCGTCACTGCGGTTTGTCCCGCTGAGCACATGTCGCGGTCCATCGGCAGAACAGCATCAACAGCGAGTGTCAGACAGAAGAGCCCCGAAAGATGCTCGCCTCACGGACCATTGCGCTGCGGCTAAGCTTGACAGAAGGAAAAACAACATACCGATACTTAATGGCGGTGGCCATGCATAGACGCCCATGGACGAGCCTACTTGTCGGCTCTTGTTGTCGTCGTGATCGAGCGCCAAGCGCCCGCTCGCGGACATTGCATCCGTGCATCTAGACGCCCAAGGCTGATCTCGATTCAATATTATTCGCGGGTTTTGAACGACAGATGGCGGCCAGCATCGGGACTCCGCCCGCGCGTCTATCCGGTGGCTGGCTTGCTTTCGCCCGCACACAGTGACCCGGCGCACAGCACACCGCGGCCAGCCTGGCGGTGCAGTCTCTGCGCCATGCGTTGCGCCCTGAGATGAAGGGTGCAGGCCATGCGCTTCGCGAACAGCGTGCTTCCCCGTGCCGGGCATGCCGTCATGAAGCCCCAGACTCGTCTCATTGGGAGTCTAATGTTGATGGGCGAATCGAGACCCCGCTAGGAGATGCCTGGCACAAGCCGGCCTCGACCGGTGCGTCCCACACTCACATCTTTCCCTTCGTGAGGCCGGTGGATCCTGACAAACGCCATCCATATCGTCAGCATGCCCCGCACGCCCGAGATGAGGTTATCTCGTGCAATTCTAATTCTATCAGACGCGACGGGGGACACGACATCGCGACTAACACGATTTGTTCCCTTTGCCCATACATTTTGACGGCTGTTCAACTATGCTCAGCCTCGACGTCAGCCTCTAAACCTCCTCGCTGCTGGCATCGACGTAATCATTTGCCGCGGACGTTGGCAGATGCAGACATGCTCAAGACGCCGAGCGCACTTCTGCCCCAGGACGTCGTCAAGAGAGCATACAAGACCCTGCGGCTAAGACGTGCCTGTGTCCTAACTCTTCGCAGCCCCCCAGTGCCCTAGTCCATTTCTGTGACGTCGAAAGGGTCTGGATGTCTCACGCACCGCACCCGTCAATGATGACTTACGAGGTCCCTGGAAGAGGTGCGTGCCGAGTGCTGAGTATGCCCACATAATGCCGATCCTGTGCCTATGTACATGGCGACGTCATGCTACCACGGTAGCAGGCGCGCGCACGAGCAGGCCGTGCGCGTAGCCCGTGGAACGGTTTGCTGACTGCGACAGGGTGCGAGAATGTGTACGCCGATCAGGCTACGCGCGCACCGGGACCCCTCAACATTAACGGCGCTCTGGGGTGGGGCGGGATGGACGTACCATGGTTGACCTGCGCCAGCCCAACGGCGCATACATCCCTCACGCACGCATGTGTGCGACCGCAGCGACCTTGTGCGTTTGCGAACGCAAATAGGAAGCGTAGGGGTCCCTCGCGTCGTCTTTGTCCCGGTAGGCCACACACGCTTAAGCCCGGATGCCGCCGGCTGACCCATCATCTCACATTGCTCCCGCCAGACTAGAAGATGTCGAAGGCCCGCAGGCGTGCCCCCTGCGCGCCCAGGGGACTTTACGTCTAATGCCTGCACGCTAAAGCGCGGGGGGAAGGCAAGGGCGGGACCCCGCAATTAGCGACCAGAGCCCACACATCGCCTGCGCACCGAGTTTAACACTAGTTCTCCCCCACGCCGGCGCGTGCGTTGTGCAGCTGTATTGGGCGAGCTCCGTGCGAGGGGCAGGCCAGTGCGAGAGTTGGCCGGGTAATTGGCGGCGCGTGTGCACGATGCGATGCGCTAGGGCATCGGAGCTCGCGGGGATTGAATGTGAGTCATGGAATGTGAGTGAGCATGGACGTGCAGGCGAAAGGAAGACGGTCTGCTATGCGATTCTGCGATTGTATCTCGCGCCCCACACGCTGGGGCTTCACGAGGGAAGGCTACGCGGGGGGCACGTACATACACCACCACACCTTGCGATTATCGACATGGATGGCTCTGCCGCTGACGAGGATCGTACGACTAGGCACAACTAGGCACAAAGAGAGGGGATGCCGCGCTTCTCTGAGTCTGTGCAAATATGTGAATCGCCTGGAGAGCAACGACAATTGGGTGAGCGAGGGCGAATGCTGCCCAAGTAGTGGTTCGAGATATGGGAAAGCCCACCGCCCAACGCGCGGAGAAGAACGACGTATGTTAGATGCCCCAGGGTCTAACCCCAGGGCCTAGGCCCAGGCCTTGTAGTTCTATCATGTCGGTTATTAGTGCCTCGTCCAGAGATCTTCGCCGTGCGTCATTCTAGCGGCGATCACAGCGAAGCGTAAGGCGTTTTGTGCGCTTTCTTCGCCCGAGAAATACGCGAAAATCAGGGGGACGTGCAACCAGCAGGAATGCGGTGGACGAACGACTCAGTCAGCCCGCCGCGAAGGCGACGATCCTGTCGGCACAACGATGATCGTCGGGGGCACAGCATCACCCGTTTGAGCATCCTGTTCACCGTTTACGGAGTCGGCGGGAGCGCCAGAATGTGGACAGATGCCTCCGGCCTACCGGATTCTATAGATGCGGGCGTGGAAAATGACGAGCAGGCCCTTACATAAACCTGTGGTGCACGTGTAACGAGAGTCAAATGCTCTCTGCGCGCCCGCTGCAGCTTCGCAGCAGCGGCTAGGGTGTAGTACCGATGATAGTCATGAGTGTGGATGCTGTGTAAAAACAAAGAGTAGTGGTGCTCGGTTTTGGAGCGCAAGAATGTTTTGGAGCGGTGAAAATTGACGTGAAAATGTTCCGCCGCCAGTCGCATGTTCTCGTGAGAGCAACAAATCCGGTGCGCCTTCTAGCGGCACGGGTCCGAACGTTGGGGTATTTGTGGTGCAGAGAGCCCTGGTAGATGCAAGTCCTACAGCTCACCCGAGTATACGCAAAGGCGCGGCACTGGTCATCGGTGTCTGTTACCGGATGACGCAGACATCGACGGAGCGCTCAAGGAGGCAACACACTCCGATGCGGTGGCACTTGGTCATTTCGGTGAAACCGGCAGACAGAGAGATGATAAGACACCAAGCAGGATCCGACAAACGTTCAAAGGATGGAGATTTTTTTCATGCGCATAGTCTCTGAAAGCAGGCGTATCAGCAAGAAAACGAGTGATGAAGAGTGAATCTGTGATTTGCAAGACGCGTTTCGGATGAGATCACGTGTCCGTGTTCGGGCGCGTGCCAAGGAATAAAATATCGATGCATTTTTGATGCCCGGCATTTCTGGGGAATTTCGAAAGGCGGCGCCGGCCGGGGGGCCGCGGAACGTCTTAGCGAGGGCCACAGCCATCCTTCCTCCTCCTCGTCGACATCGTCCGCCACTCTACCTCTCTCTCGTCGTCGTTAAAGTGTAGCCGACCGCCCAATCTTGCCTGCGGACACATCTGAACTGCACCCGCGCACCGCGGAGACGCTGCTGGGCCATGAATGATGCAGCATTCGCGCGCCGGCGCAGCGTGGACGTCGGCGGGCTTGCCCTTGCCCTGGCGGACGGGAGCTCGGGGCAGGGCTGGGGTGGGTGGGACGAGGCCGAGGCAGGCGAAACAAAGTGCGTATGGAAGCTGTCGCTCCCCGCAGATTCTCCTTACCGCCCTCCAGGTACGCCGAGGTTCTGATCGACGTGCGCGCACACACAGAAACCATCATCAATTATGATACTGCGTCTCTGTGCGTGCATACATCCTGGGCGTGTCCCATCGTGCGTGCTTATCATATCGCAGCGCGCTCGTGGTCGAAGACGGTACCCGATATCGTCTCATCCACTCCCTATGCACGTGGAACTTCGAACCACACAAGCTGCCCGAAGAAGAGGTCCTCGCGTGCTCGTATATCCTATTCGAGGCGCTATACCGTATCGAGGGCATGCAGGATGCAGTAGGCATCCCTCTTTGCAAGTCGCACTCTCGCGTCCCTCTTGCGCAGCTAACCTTCGCATGCAGGCAGTCTCGCGTCGTTCCTTCAGCACCTCCGCCAAGTGTACCGCCAAGGTAACACATATCACAACTTCCAGCATGCATTAGACGTGTTCCAAGCAACGTACTACTTTCTGTATCGCGCGGGTATGGTCCCGCCTGTATCAATATTACTGCATGCAGACGCCCGGACCTGGCAAAGAGACAAGGACTCCGCATCCAGCCATTGTATATCACGCCTGACACCAGAAGATATTTTCGCACTACTAATTGCAGCTGTCGGCCATGACGTTGGCCACCCGGGGCTCACGAATGCCTTTATGGTTAGTCTTATGTTCCTTGGTGCCCGTACGTGTTAGGTAAATGTCCTGCTTAGAAAAACGCCCGCACGCCTCTCGCAGTCGTCTACGACGACAAGTCTGTGCTTGAGCAGATGCACTACTCGCTCATCCTCCAGATCATGCGCCACAACGGGCTCGGCTCCCTGCTCGACCGCCCACATCGCGGTGCGGCCTTTCGCCGGCTGCTCCTCGGCACGGTGCTCGCGACGGACCTTAGTCTCCACGGCGAGTTCATGGACGGCTTCCGCGCGCTCCTAGAGGGAAATCCTCTCGACGAACAGGCGTGCAAGATTCTTCTTTGCCAGGCGCTCATCAAATGCGCGGACATCAGCAATCCGGTATGTGTGGTCGTGTCGCGCGCATGAATGACGATCCTGACAGCGCCACAGTGTCGGCCATATAGCGTATCGAAGCACTGGGTTGCTGCCCTCGAGTCGGAGTGGACAAGCCAGCTGATGCTCGAGCGGCATCTGCACCTCCCTGCAACAGTCAAGCCATCGGACGATTCATTGGGTGAGGCTCGCGGCCAGGTCTGGTTCATTTCCACGTTCACGCGACCATTATTCGAGCGGGTGGCCCAAGGCATTCCCGGTATTAAGTCTCACGCATCTTTACGCATCAACACTACTTACATGACCCTTCAGAGATGGAGGAATTCGCACTACAATGCCGTGGGAACCTCGCTCGGTGGGAAGTGCGGTCAACAGAGCTTTCCGCTGCTGTCGATGCGGACGCGAGAGCCACCGTCAACGGCACTGCAGAACCGCCGTCGCCGACGTCTGGTCCCGCTGCTGTACCACAATTCCAGCTCGTCGAGAATTTCCTTTCCGCTTTCCCACCGACCCTCCCGGACTCCTTCCGCAGCTCAGAGGACGCTCATTCGCTGTCCTCCTCGCCCCCATCACACCCTTCCTCGCGTTACTCGCACTCACACTCTGCCTCGGGCTCGTCCGGCTCCAGCCACTACGAGTCCTGCGAGTCCGGCCCGCCCTCGCCCTGGGTACTCCCTTCGCCTGCGGCCTCCGATCTCCAGCCACGCCTCGAAATCGCGACGCCGCCTGCGCTGTTTGCATCTGACTTCCGCTTCCGCCCGCCGAGCGCCGCGTCCGTGCGCTCCGCAAGTACTGCGCAGGCACACGACGCGACCGCAGCGATCCGTGCGGCATACAAGGCGAGTGTGCGCAAGAAGAAGAGCTGGCACCGCAGCTCGTGGAATCCGGGCGGTGCGTCCAGCCCGGGGAGCGGTGCGCCGCTCTCGCCCACGGGGCCCAGTCCGCTCACGGCGCATTCGTCTCCGATGACGACGCACTCGCACAGCCCGCTGACGCCCCTCGACGCAATCGCGCACGATGTGCGAACAAGCCCGCTCAAGGAGTGCGGCGATCCCACATCGCCGACCTCATGACGTGCTGTTCCTCTCATGAAGGTTGAAGCAGTTCGCAATCAGTGAATGTATCATAGATGTATCAAGGCTCCAGTCTTCGCTTTCGCTGTCGATGTGTTTCGCCATGTTGTTGCAGCCTAATCATTCTCCTAGGGGCTTGGAGGTGTGTCAGCTACGCTTATAACATGGCGCGATTCTTGGTTGAGATCGCTATGGTCAGCGCAAGCCTTCTTCGGAGGAACGCTGTTATCCTGTTTACCCTTATGTTATACCCTCAGGCCCCCTTGTGTAGCTGTAGGAATGTCAGCCTATTGCCCTATGGGCGCAGTTTGAAATTGTAGCACGCTGTCGACACTGCAGGCCGTGATGAATACAAATAATGTTTTGTTAGCTGAAAGAGTGACAGTTGGTTTATTCTGCATAGTCGCACATAAGATAACCCCGTACATGCAATCTAGGATGCAAGAGACTAGAACGGAAGAGATGAGATTGAACAAATCATGGTCAGGAAGATGCGAGACTAAAGGAATGTAGGCATTGTTGGGCAAGAGGGGAGCAAGGCTAAATATTATGCTGGAGAGCGATATTAGGAATCTGAACTAAGCTAATCGTGTGTCCCAATTGATAAAGCAGTCTTAGTCGAACGTCTCGTACCAAACCTCGAGAAGAAACCTGCACCGTCATGAGAGGTAGAACTCCCTGCACGCGAGCGGAAAGACCAAGCAGGAGAAGCCGGCCTAGCAACTTCGGGCTGCGCAACATGCAGAAGTTGATCCCGAGTGCGTGACGGCTCTCGCTGTAGTTGGTCGTGGCTGTGATGATGGTGATGGTGGTGATGGTCGGTCTTGCCCGAGCGACCTACGGTATGTCGTCCATCGCAGCAAGCACGGACATTCTCAAGACCTTCGAATCCTCCGTCAGACATGGTCTCATCGTGCAATTCGAAGTCAAGATCCTCTTCGTCCTGCGCCGGGATTTGCTCGTACTCCTTCGATGGGCTGTGCATATTGTCATGGTCTGCCCAACGTAGGTACTCTGCAGCTGGTGTGCCGGAGCGTTTGCCAACCGAGCCTCCTAACGAGATTTGAGAGCGACTTCGCTGACCCCTGGGCGTCACATTCCACGACTCTACACTGAGGGCCGTTCTCCCCGTCCGTGTGCTCCGTTGACTTTGAGGACTCGAGATAGCATTGTGACGCGGGCTACCTTCCTCCTCGGGCAAATCTCGGTCCATGGACATTGGACTCAACGGCGCTTGGTTCTGAGTAGCAGGAGAGCCCATTGACACAGAGCTTGGCCGTGACAACAGGAATTTCAGTGCCTAAGAGAAAATAAAATATCTCGTCACTAAGGGTAACAGTAGAGACGATGGTTACAGACATTGAGCCAAATGTCATGCCTCTCCTTCGTCGCAGCGGTGAACTTCATCTCTCGTTGGGGAGTGGATACGACAACACTGTATTGATAAATACCCGGCGGCATTGGGTTTGGATCCAGCACGGAGCGCACATCTTCGATATATGCTATAAGAGAGAGGTGAGAAACGTAAAGACGAAGAATTCGACACACATACCGCTCTTTGCACTAGACTCAGCGACATTGGATGAGCCGGGATCGGCTGAACTCCAGTACAGCGTCCTGGTGTATGGATGAATCCACACAAAACGCTTATGTCTCGTGGAACCATGACCTTTGCCAAGAGCGCGGCGTGTGTACTTGTATAGGAATTCGCCAATCATTGTCTGTGTGATCGCATGAATGACAGCTGGGTCTGTTGAGCTCACGGCAGCACCACGTGAAGATGTCTCAGCAGATTGTTCATGAATGACAGCTGCCTCGCCGAGTCTCTGAGCGTGTTGGTGGAATGCGTGATGATCGGAAGATATAGAGGATCGTTGGGAGCCCATGCTGTGGCCACCGGAATTGAGAGACGTTGTAGACCGTTCGCGCCGCTCCCTCTCGCGGATGCTGAATGACATGGCAGAGGGTGTCGGGCTTGACATAGGTGGTCTCCCAACTGCATTCACGGCCGATCGGAAGCTGCTTGTAGACGGAAGTTCGCGGAGGCTTTGCTGAGTCGGGGGTAGACTTGACCCATGCTGGCGCAATCCGAGGTTTCTTGCACCAGGCACAGACAGGACACTTCCGAAAGTGGGAGTTGTGGCGCGCTGAATGAGGTCCGGAGGAGGAGGGGATGAAGGACGAGGAGGTGGTAAATCATGCGAAATCCTCTTCTCGGGTATGAACGGCGGCGGAGGCATGCTGTTGGGCGGGGGAGGGGCTCGGGGAGGCGGTGGTAACACCATCATAGGTGGACGAGACTTGTCGATAACATTAGGGACTGTTGAAGGCGTGCGTGAGCGGGAGACAAGATCATCCATAACCGACGACAAGGTGGATTCGATGGATTGTCGGCGATCTGAATGAGAGGTACGTGGACGGGCAATGAAGGTGGCATTGGAATCTCGGATGGTGGTATTGGGGGAGGGAGAGACGACTGGCAGAGACGTTGTGGTTGGGCCAGCGGATGAAGGTGGAGAAATGAATTGGAATTGTTGAGAATTGACACCGACGCGGTAAAGTGTGGGGACGGAACCAGGCGCAGGTGTAGGCGGAGCAGTAACAGGGACAGTGATCGGAGAGGGGACGGGTGCAATGACAGTTTGGAGGAGTGGCTCAGGAGGAATCGAAATAGCAGCAGCGGGAATCCATTCATCCGTCTGTATCGAGATCTCCTTGAGCTCCGGCTTCGGCTCAGAGTTGAGTTCAGGAACGGTATCAGGTACGACAGTCTGCACAACCGGCTCAGCTGCCTTTGGTAGCTCAATCTCCTCGGTAGCAGTAGCCTTTGACTCATATGTTGGGGCTTCTGATGTCAAGACCACCTCTGTTGGCGAAGGCACGACAGAAACAGGAGACGTTGCGGTCAAGTCATGCCTGCTCTGCAAGCGGGAGGCCTTGATGCTTTCCATGTCGTCCTCGCTCTCCGAGAAGTCGTTGTCCGACACCGTCATGATTGAGTGGAAGTCATTCATGGAGTCTGTCGGTGTTGGTGTAGGCATTGTCATGCTCTGGCGGGCATCCAGGTAATCATCGGCATCTGTCTCCATCATCGAACCGGTCTCGGTTGCAACGTCGCTGTACTCGGGGGAAGAACCTCCCTGAGAGAGCGCAAGTGAAGATGGTCGGACGTGTGCTGCGTGGATTGTCGTGTCGCCGCTTGAGTTTCCGAACGAATCCTCTCTGCTGGACATATCTACAGCACCAATCAGCCGAGGTGCTTCCGTGAAAACGGCCTGAACTTCAGCGTCGAAAGTGTCAGGAGTTATAGTCTGCGTCTCCATCTCTCCACGGACTGTCACTGGCTCGGGCAAGGTCTGAACATCCATATCGAACCTCTCCACAGGAATGGGTTCGGGCTCTGGCGTTGTCTGGATGTTGATCTCGGCAACTTGCACGGGAGTAGTCTGTACTTCAGCAGTGACGGAGAGAGGAACTGGAATCGGCTCGGGCAAGGGCTCAGGCATTGTCTGGATGTCGACCTCGGAGACTGTAATTTGAATAGTCTGCACTTCAGAGCTAATGAGCACAGGCGTTGGGGCAATTGGGATCGGCACCGGTTCAGGTTGGGGTTCGGTCATCATAGAGCTCGATGCATATTCCCGCGCTGGCTCCAGGTCTTCATACTGAATTGCGATCTCAGCTCGGACTGGGGCAGGCTCTTCTTCCGTTTGCATTGACATCCCGACCCTTTCCACGACAGGAATGGGAGCAGGTTCGACCTGGACACCCATGTCCACTGTAGGGGGCGCGACTGGAATTGGTGGTGGTGGCGGCGGCGGCGGCATAACCTCCACGAAGTCTGTCTGACAAGCGAATTCAGCAGTTTCGATGGCCCGCATCGTCGGTTGCTCCTCCATGCTTTCATCTGCTGCATCCAGTCCAATGCCAAGTTCCGCAGCTAAAGCCTCGGGACGACCGATTAACGATGGCGGACGCGCCTCTTGGAATGCTGCGCCGCCACGCGAGCGACGTGGAATTGTACCTCCACGTGCAGCTTTCGCTAAGACAGATTGCCGTAGGGGGCTAATGCTTTGTGGAAGAGAGCTAATAGACGAAGATCGCTTGAGAATATTTGCGAATGCTGGATCCATACCGTCTACGCTCGTCCTATTCGAAGGAGGCTGAGGTGGCGATGGAGATGCTTGCACATCGATTTGGCCCTCCTCGTGCGGAATTTCTTTCTCGTCATCACCGTTGAGCTGGAATGTGGGAGGTAAGGGGGGAACCGGCGGAGGAGATGTCTCGCGAGGTTCGTCATCGTTGTACTCAGATGACGGGCTGTTGGCGGCCATACCGAAACGCTGCATGAGTGTAAGCCCCTTGCTTCTGCCTCTGCCGCGACCTCTCCCAGAGCGATACGGAGTAAGGCGCAACTTCGGCTTCGGCACTTCATCATCCTCATCCACGAAATCCCCTGTCTCCTCTTCTGTCGCGACCGCGGGAGACGCGTCCAACTTGCGGCGATACTCCATCCGAAGCTCCTTCTCTCGCTGTAGCGTGCCCTTGAGGGTGTTGATCTGCCGCTGGGCATGAGCCAAGCGCTGCTGCAGCGCCTCGATCTCATTACTAGGATGATTCGGCGAGAGGAATGGCTTGGATGGTGATGGATCGGGGGAATCGGCATAGTCATCAAAGTTTTCTGCCGAGAAGAACGCGGTAGCGTCCACACTTTTCCTGTTGTTCGTAGACGCCCGTCCGGTAGTACCAAACACGTCTTCCTCATCCGCATTGCTGGGAGTGAGGAATTCGGAGGGAGCGCCACCGTTGGGTGTAAGCGGCGAGCCAAACCGAGGGAATTTTCGATTGCCTTTCGCGATGTCTGCTTTGAGCGTGTCAAGCGACTGCTGCAAGTCAGATTTGTCACGCTGCAGACTCGCGGCATGCTTCCGCGCCTGCGCGACATCGGTCTCGTGCTTGGCTTTGAGCTCCTCGAACGCATTCTGGTGTCGTTCCGTTTCGTTCTTGTGCGAATCCACGGCCTCGCGGGCGCTTGTGAGCATCTTGGTAAGGCGTTTGTGCTCACCTTCCAGTCGTTGCACCGACGCCTGCGAGTCTGTGAATTGCGTGCGAAGCTCCTGCAATGTGACTTCTAAGTTCCAGTTTTCTTCCTTGAACTTGTCGGCGGACTGCTCCTGATCTCTGAGGGCGGTTCGTAGACTCTCAACCGTCTTCTCCAGGTCATCCTTTTCCTCTTTCATGTCCTGGATGGCCTTGTCGCGCTCAGCGAGCAGGCTCTGAAGGCGCCGCACCTCCGTCAACAGACCACTTCCAATCTCAAATGCAAATTCTGCGTTCAATGTCAGCGGCAAGCAGTATGCGTAGTCGACACGCGAAACGCACCGACATCGTCAGCGCGGTGCGCTGCATTCTTGGCACGTCGGGACGATTGGGCAGCCGATGGACCCGCAGCGGCCTTGGATCTATCGACAGCACGGTCCGGGCGCTCGACCTCGCGCGACAAATCGGCATGCGGTTGCAAGCCATTTACAGGCTGGAAGATCGGGGTTGATCAGCATTTACAGGCTGCGAGATCATATATCTGACTCACCTTGAGTCCAAATGCGACCGACAGTTGCTCGTTCTCCGTATCCCAATCCTTGATCGTGTCCGCCAACTCACGATACTTGTCGCGCACGCTGACGTCCGCCTCATCCTCACCGCTGCTCGCGTCAAGCTCCAGCTCCTGCAGCTGCCTAACCCGCTCCTCCAGCTCCATCCGCTGCGCAAGCAACTGCTGCCCGAGCGTGCCTGCCTGTTGCAGCTGCTTCTCCTTGTTGTCAAGTAGCGTCTGTAGATGGAGACGCATATCGCCGTGGGAAGAAAGAGGAAACATGGTTGGGGCTTCGACACTGTCGTCGCCGTCGGAAAGGGTAGGCATCTGCGCAGCGGGGCGGCGACCGCGGCGCGTGTTGGACTCGCGGACAGCAACGTGCTGGGAGGAGCAACGCGTCCAACAAGAGTGTTGTTTGCGATTGTTTTGCGCTTGTGGCCCCGGATCACTTGGTCGAACTCAAACAGACTCAAACAGAGTCCGGAGTTGTGCTGATTTTGTCCTTGCAGGAATCTCGTGACGTAAACACGTAGTCGGCAATTGTTACGTAGCCGAGACAGCCACTGCGTAAATTTGGACACAATCAAGCCTGTGTGCACACAGTCAAATGGCGTATATTCGGTATGATGAGTTCGACGGAGGCAGTCAGTTGGGGAGATGAGAGAGAGGCAAGAGGTGGCCGACAATGCGAGGCGAAGCAGGCTCTTTATGTGCGAAAGTGCATGACGACATCGAGTAAGGACGACTTTATATACGTGGCAGAATATGCATGATCCCATCACAAACGAGCGAAAACACGAAGTATACCATATCAGGAATGCCATTCAGGGAAATTGTATCCTATCTAATCACGCTCATTATACGAGATGTTCTCACGCACCTTGACTGTGAATGGAACGTACTTTCCTTCAATCTCAATCTACGAACAGCTACCTCTCTCAACGCACCTACCTTGACGGAGCAAGATGTCTAGTGCGGACGTAGACGAAGTCAGCCCGTACGAGCTGCTAGGCTTATCTCTCGAAGCCACCGATGCCGAGATTCGCACAGCGTACAGACAACGCTCCCTGAAAGTCCATCCAGACAGGGTACGCACTTTCCCTCATTCCGGTGCTCGGTGGGGTTTGAACGCTTTCCTCTGACTCAAGTCTTTCCGATAAGAATCGCGGCAACCCAGACGCCGGTGCGTACACGAAAAGTGCGGGATTGCCGCCACTCGACGCTCATTTACCCCGACAGCGCGGAAATTCCATGAACTCAACCAGGCCTATGAGCTCCTTCTCGATCCCCTCCGCCGCATGGCGCTGGACGCCAAGCAGCGGGTGAAGGAAGCCCGTAAAGCGCGTTTCGCCTCATACGACGCAAAGCGTAAAGGTCTCGTGGAGGAGCTGGAAGCCAGCGAGCGCGCATTCAAGAAGGCGAAGCTCGAGAAGGAAGGTGAAGAGCGGGCTCGATGGCTCGAGAATGAACGTATCATGGACGAGGGACGGCGATTACGTGAGGAGCGTGAGAGAGCACTCAGGAAGAGGGAGGAAGAGCTGCTCACTGCGGAAAAGGCGAACGCAAGTGAGAATGAGCCTCCTGCAGTCGGTGCGTATCTCTATTCATTATACGCCTCACAGGAGAGCCAACGAGGCCCTAATCTAGGTACGCTGGACACCACTGTCCGACTGAAGTATCAATTACCCGCACATCCTGAACTCACCACACCCTCCGCTCTTAGTACACTCCTTTCGCCCTTCGGCAGCGTCGATGACTCTGCCATCGTGATCTCCTTGAAGCCCTCACCACCCAAGAAGCCAAAACGCGTGACTGCTCTGGTAGCATTCAAACAAATTGGCGGAGCATTCGCGGCAGTATGCAGCAGCGGACGTTCTGAGAACGGGCTCACAAGCATTGAGGTCGATTGGGCCGAAGGCAAGGAGCCCGAGCTGATAGGTTGGTTGATTAAAATGGGCAAACTCGCTCCACCGAGCTCGCGTTCCACGCAATCACCGCCCTCTGCCAATCAGCGGCAAGATGCGCCCAGTTCCACAACTGCAGCCTCAGCCCCTCTTTTCTCTTCATTCCCTTCTACCTTTGTAAGTTGCTATCGGTTATATCTGGTCACCGCCCTAACTAATCTTATACAATGTGAATGCTGAATAGCCTGACCTCGACGCTTTACCAAATGCATCCGCAGCCACCCCTGCGGTTCCTGGCTTAGACTACGAATCTCTCACCCTGATGCGTCTGCGACAAGCAGAGCGTACTCGCATGGAGAAGGAGATCCGTGAACGGGAAGCGGCAGAAGAGTAAGCGTCAGATACTGTAGCCAAGGTTTACCGTACTGTGTAGCTGAGTGTGACCGCACTGGAGATAACTGTTATTCCTTGAATCTGGTGCTTGGGGGAGATGCAACAGGTAAAGATAGATTGTAAATGGTCGTATATGAGTGAAGGAGCTACAGGATGCGATAAACGAAGGGGACTGGTTCGCACATACGTAATTATTGCCAAGGTCAAACCTTTGCAATAGCCGGAGGAGAATGCGCCCAAAGGTAACTAGATGTGTAACAGTCGAACGAGAACGTCAGTAGCCAACAAAATGACAAGCTCGATCGGTCAAGGAAGCCGGACGCGCTGGCGAGAACCTTCTTATCGGTGTCTCGAAACCGCATGGATCGTGAGGACGTGTTCCCACGGGCGGGGAACGACATGCGAGTCTGGACTATCGTTGGATGCCGGTGGTAGTCTTGCGAGAGTCAAGTGCAGAGTACTAGTCAACGCAGAGCCTTGAGGGGGTCAAGTGTGCTGCCAAGCACAGGTATGGAGACCGTGTATTTGCCATCGAACTGGTGGGTAACTCCGAATCGAAGAGCAGGAATATTCATGAAGTGAAACAATAAGGCGATAGTCCCTTGAACTAAGTGTAAGGAGGCGAAGTGGAGGTGGACGGAACCTAAACGATAGTCAGAATAAACTGAAAACGCAACGAACAAGGCGGGATATACTAACCAGCGAAACAAGACCCAGCGGTGACAACTACAGTTCAACCCAAGAAGTGGATGGAGGCAGACTAAGACTCAAATCGTCACCGGCTAAAGCCGATGTCAACCATGCCTTGGCATGAAAGAATCACAACACTTACTGCAGAGGAACGGGGCTATATGAAGAGACTAGAAATGAAGGCGGGGGAAGCAGAAGAACACTATTATCTATATTGATTTGAGTGTAAAAAAAAAGAGGAATGAACGGCTCACCAAAAGAGTGGAGCCTCGTACGAAACCCCGAGAGGCAGCAGACGAAAAGAAATATAAGACGGCCCAAAACGATGGAATAAGAGGCGGCAATAGTGGCAGGCAGGCGGCGGCGGCAGACAAGACCGGATGTGCATTCTTAGAGCTGACCCAAGACAGACGATGTAGACAAGACCGAAACTTGTTGCTCCCTGCGTGATGTCCAAGGACGAACAATGGCGGAGAGGCACTTAGACATTGACATGATACGAAGGCAGACGAATCAAACAGTAACCAGGAGATTCCAGAAACGAGGTCAGAGGAGACATCAGACAAATCCAGACAGGTAGACACAGAGTAGATATTTCTTGATAATCTTCGTCTTCATGACCAGAGCTCCTAGCCGTCAGGATCAGGCCCGAAGAGCGACTCCAGATCGTCATCGCCAGCAGCAGCCACGGGCTTCCCCGGCACGTTAGCTTCAGACGACCGGTCCTCGTCAACATCATCGCCGACTCCGTAAACGGTAAACAGGATACTAAACGGATGACGCTGTGCCGACAGGTTCGTCGCCTTCGCGGCGGGCTCTCTGAGTCGTTCCTCTGCGTCCCTGCTGCTTGCGTGCACCCCTGTTCTTTTTTCGCGTGTCTCGCGGGCGGACAGAGCACACAGCGCATCTCATGCTTCGCTGTTATGCTCCGTTAGATATCTGATTTCTTGTACGAGAAGATTGAACACCGCATGCAGTGGCAGAGGTCTGGACACGATTGCAGGATTGAATCGAGCTCTAAATCTTGTCTGCAACGCGACTGATCTGACTGACCTCGAAAATCACCGTTGCCGTGCGGTTAGACGCCGAAGAGTCTGGATTGTCACGTTTGCATCTGGGAGGGGGGTACCCCCCTCCAGACCAGATCGAGCGTTGCAAATGTTGTTTTCGGGCTCCGCTCACTCCTCGTTGGCTCAAAAAGGATCACCTTGCTTACCTCATTGGTTCCCACCCTCGTCAGTCACTTATTGACAACCTGATGGTGACGACTGGCCTCCGGGCGCCTTTCTTTCGCCAAACGGCACGGACCGACATAGTGGGTCCGTTTTAAAGTCCGGTTTGCATCTGCGAACTGTCCAGATCCTGCGGGAAGGCATCCACTGATTACGTGACCAACTAATTTTGATCTTCATCTAATCTTTCTTCCATATTACATTTTGATGCCTAAGTTGATCTGCTCGAGCGAGTAAATCCCTACTGCTCTATCACTTAGGCATCATTTCTACTGATCTCAGCATTTTGTATATCGATCTTCAAGGCAATCCATATGCGAGCAGTGGAGAGGTGCAGGCTGGAAGCAGTCAAATTGCGGTAGTTCTGCAAACTCTGTCACTCACGGGTCACGGCAAACTCCGCCGTGGCAGAAGCCGCGACCAAACCTGTCGTGACAGGGAATGTCACGTTCGTTTTTGCAAGCCATCCACACGCCGCGATTCAATCTGTTGACAATATATCGGGTTGGAGAAGCAAGAAATACATGGCTGGAACATACTAGATCAGATGTCCAATTGGGGACAACGGCTTACAATAAGTACAGATCTGTCTTGCCATGAGCTTGCAGAAGGCAATATGAACTGTCTTAAGGCTCCTATTCCACGACAAATCCATTTCTCCGCAACTGGCCTCACAGGTAGGATACAAATTATGTCTATAAGGTCGTACAAGCGTCAGAAGTATAGTCCATGAGGTGGAAAACAAGATCACGATGTTTTGCAAAATTGATCAAGTTTGCAAAACCCCGTACTCCACAGTACCAAATGTAGTGTGAATTCATCAGCGGTTGTTCCCAGAGTCCGGTGGGCCGGAGACATCTGTCCACATTCCGGCGCTCCCGCCGACTCTCTGAACAGTGAACAGGATACTAAACGGATGGCGCTGTGCTGATAGGATCGTCGCCTTCGCGGCGGCTCTCTGAGTCGTTCCTTCGCGCTCCTGCGGCTTGCGCGCTCCCCCTTTTTTTGCGTGTTTCGCGGGCGGACAGAGCCCATAGAGCGTCTCGTGCTTCGCTGTTATCTCCGCTAGAATGACGCATGGCGACGATCTATAGGCAAACCGACATGATAGAACTACAAGATTTAGGCCCTTGCCCTGAGGTCAGACCCGTGACCATCGAGCATTCGTCGTTTTTCCCTGCACGTTGGGCTGCGGGCTTTTCCATATCTCGTATCGATACACGGGCAGCTTTCATCCTCGCTCACCTAATGCACGATGTTCTCCAGGCGACCCACATACATGCAAATACTCGGAGAAGCGAGCGGCCTCTCTTTGTGCTTAGTTGCATGATCTTCGTCCGGCAGAACCATAAATGGCGGTACTCACAAGGTGCGGTGGTGGTGTACGTACGTACCCGCCCGTATCCTGTCCCTCAGCGTGTGGGGTGCGGAGTGCATCCGCAGGATCGCAAAGCAGATCATCCCCCATTCGTCTATGCTCGCTCATATTCCACGACTCACATTCAATATCCGCGGGCTCCAACGCCCTAGCGCATTGTATCGTACACGCCCGCCGCCAATGACCCGGCCGCCTCTCGCGCCGCCCGGCATCTTGCACGGACCTCGCCCACCGCATTGTCAGCCGCACAACGCGCACGCCGGCGTGGGGGAGAAGTAGTGTTGAACTCTGTGCGCAGGCAGTACGTGGACCCTATTCGCTAAATTGAGAGGGGTGCACTCCGCCCCTGCCCTGCCCCTCGCGCTTTGGCGTGCAGGTACCAGACGTAAAGGTCCCTGTGCGCGCAGGGGGGCACGCGCGCGGGCCTTTGGCTCTTCTGGTCTAGCGGTGGAAGTAGACGATGCTAGGTCAGCCGGCAACATCCAGGCTGAACATCCAGGCTGAAGCGTGTGTGGTCTCTCGGAATAGACACGACGCGAAGGGCTCATACGCTTTCTATATGCGTCCGCAGATGCACAACTTCGCTGCGACCGTGCGCATAGGTGCGTGGGGAATGTATGTATGCACCATTGGGCTGGCCGCATAGTTCGTCCACCCTGCCCCACCTTGAGGTGCCGTGACTATGGAGACGCCCCGATGTGCGCGTAGCTTGTTCGACGTGCACATCCCCATACCCTGTTGCAGTCAGCAAACTGTTCCATTGGCAACGCACACGGCCCGCTAGTGCGCACGCCTGCTGCGCTACCGTGATAGCAAGACGCCCCTATGCACGTAGGCACAGGATCGGCATTATGTTTCGCTCAGCACTTGACACACACCTCTTTCAGGGGCCTAGTAAGTCATCTTTGACGGGTACGGTGCATGAGGCGTCCGGACCTTTTGACATCGCAGAAAGGGACTAGGGTATTGCTGGGTTGCGAAAAGTGAGCACACGCACGCCTCGACAACAGGGTCTTGTAGGCTCGCTCGACCAGGTCCTGGGCGGAGGAGCCTTCAGCATGCCAGCATCCATGATGACGTCGATGCCAGCAACGAGCAGGGTCAGATACTGACGTCGGGGCTGAGCGCTGGGTGCAGTTGAACAGCCGTCACATTGTATAAGCGAAGGGAGCGAATCGCGTGTTTCATGATGTCAGATATAGAAGAATTGGGCGATGATACCATCTGGGACGTGCGCAGCACACCGTATTGCATTTGCCAGGATCGCACCTGCTTCGCGGAGATAGGGAAGACGTGAGTGTGGGACGCACCGGTGGAAGTCGGCTTATGCGGGGTCTCGATGTGCCCATCAAAAGGCAGACTCCCCATGAGACAAATCTGGAACTTCATGACGGCATGACCGGAGCGGGGAAGCACCCTGTTCGCGAAGAGCATGGCCTGCACGCCGTCGTCTGAGGGTGCAACGCATGGCGCAGAAACTGCACCGCCAGGCTGGCCGCGGTGTACTATGCGCTGGATGACTAGTACTATGCGAGGGCCAGCCACCGGATAGGCGCGCGAGCGTAGTCCCGATGCTGGCCGCCATCTGTCATTCCAAACCCGCGAATACTTATGGTCAATCGAGATCAGCTTTGGGCGTCTAGATGTGCGGGCTCGATCACGACGAGAACAGGAACCAACAAGTAGGCACCATGGGCGTCTACATGTCGCTACCGCCACCATCGATATTTTTTTTCTGGCGTCGAGCTTAGCCGCAGCGCAATTGTCCATGAGGCGAGCATCTTTCGGGGCTCTTTTTTCTGACACTCGCTGTTGATGCTGCCCTGCCGATGTACCGCAACATGTGCTCAGCGGGACAAACCGTAATGCAGAAGGCTGTTGGTGATCGCTTCCTGGAAAATTAATTCTGGCCTGGTGGCCGCAGAGTGCGACGTAGCACGACGATGTGATACTGTAGCACTTCAAGAGCATCATTCTAAAGCCGACCTCTGTCCTCGTGGCTCCAGTGTGCAGGGGGGGACAAGTACCGAATCTTATGAGATGCGATACACACAATACGGCAGCCCCGCCGCACTGCCGGCGCATATTGGAAATCAGTCCACATGGTCGCGTTCACGATGTGCCGCCCGACAAAGCGGTCTGATCACCACCACCAGTCGGTAGCAAGGCGACGCACGCAAATCCAAAGTTCCTGATAGCGTGTATGATTCTACGGTCCATACAAGCAAGTTACCATATCAGACAATTCGCACACGGGTGTGCGCGCTAGATGAGTGTACAGGGAACATATGGGCAGTGGCAGGCTACAACGTAAACTGCCACTGTGTGGAATCATCACGAACAATATATGGTGTATGCAGAGCGTGTCGTCGGCCCGCCGCGCGTTCGTATATCCAAGAAGCTCGTTACTTACATTCACCGTTTTCATGCATCCCTCGAAAACCAACGCACCCCGTCTGCGTCTCACCGCATCCGCCCCGTCCTGGTCCTGCTCTCATCAACCGCTGCATTCCCCGCTCACAGTGGGTGGAGGACCGTGAGTCCTCTTAACACTGCCGGTTGCGCAGCGGGCGAGCTGAGCAAGCTCTGTCCCGTCCCCGAAAGTTGTCCGCGCTGGGCTCAGCGCCGGAGTCGCCGCATGGCGGTGGCTGCGTCAAAACGTCAGAAGTAACACGCTGTCGCGTACGAATCGTGCGGCCTGCGGGTCCACGGCGTGCCGGGCGCTATGCCGTGCGCGCCGCCCGCGTACTCACCGTACTCCTGCGTGTAGCGCGGGTGCTGAGGTGCAGGCGCCTGGATCGGCATCGCGCTGCGGTAGTCGCGCTCCGCATGCAGGGCGTTGCGGCCGGCTCCGGTGTGGTGCGGCTGGTTCTGGTGTTGCTGCTGCGCGTAGTGGGAGTGTGCGTCGGCCTCGAGCACGTTCGAGTGCGGGTGCGATTGCGCGGGCTGAGCCTGGGGCGCACGGAAAACTGTGGGGAAGAGCATCAGCGGAATATGCATGCGTGAGGTACACAAGACGCACTGGAAAGCGGCTGTGCGGGGTACCCGGTCATGTGCTGCTCTGGCTGAGCGTAGCTGGTGCCCCAGGTGAGCGATTGCGCGGCGGCCATGAGCGGCTCCAACGCGGCGTCCTCGGCGTCATCCGCAGCGTCCTGCTCGAACGGTTCATACACCGCAGTTGCGACGCCGCGGGGCACCCACTTTTCCTCAATTTCGTCATTGAGGGAGTAGCGCATGGGGCTGAGTGAGCGCGTAGACCAGGACGGAGACGGGGGAAGGAGGGGCGCATCGAGGTGTGCCTGCCACTCGAAAAGGAGGGGCTCGTGGCGGAGAGGCCCGACCTCGATGCCTGTGGGGGCGGCGGTGACGGCGGCGGAGCGAATGCCGTTGTGCATGGCGAAGGGGTCGAGGCGGAAGGAGCTCATGAGGGCGCGCATGGCCTTGCACGCGTGGGTGGCGCGGAGGGGGACCTCGGGCATCGTCCCGGGGCCGGCAGAGGGGCAGCCGGCCGGGGGCAGCTCAAAGATGAAGCCGCCGTCGGAGTCCTCCTCGGACTTGACGCGCAGGAGAGGCGCGAGGATCGCGGGGGTCGGCGGGGGGTGGACCGGCGAGCCGGGGTTCACAATGTAAAGGGCAGAAGACCAGTAGCCGCGGCCGAAGGAGGGCTCGGGGACGTGGACGTGTGCGGGGACGGGGTCGGGGACAGGGTCGGGGACACGGGTGTAGGCGGGGGCGGTGGGGGAATGTGCAAGAGCCGGGTGGTGGTGGGCGGAGTCATAGTCGGAAGAGTAGGGCATGGCGGGGGTCGAGGATGATGAGTAGGAGGAGAGGGAGCCGACACTGGGAAAGGGGGAGTAGGAGGCTGGGAAGGACGGCTGCCAGTGAGAGTGCGTGCGCGAGGAGGACGTGTACTGGCTGTCGGCGGCGGGGTACGCGGGATCGGCGGGAGCCGCCTGGGAGCCGCCGAAGTAGCCGGACATAGAATACATGGGGGGTGCGCCGGAATATGACGCGAGGGGGGCCATGGACGGCACCGCGCGTTCCGTCCTCGACGCGAACGGTGCAAGCGACATCGGGGGGGGCCAGATCGGCGCAGACCGATCGGAACGGGATGACGAGTGGGAACTTTAACGTTGGCGAGGCTAGACGGATAAGCAGAGGACGGGCGGTGGACGGCAAAAGAGCAGCTCGGATGCCGGGTTTATGAACCCAGTCTGCACGATGCCCTACACATTGTTGACATACGCGACTGATTGGGGGTTTGCATTCTCCTGTAATCAGCAACACAGATCGTCTTTGCCTCGCGACTCCTCGGTGCCAGCCATCACATGCACGCTCGGACTCTCCAAGGTCTTTGGCTTCCTCGCGCCTTGCCCTCGCCCATATACGGAGGCCTTCAAAGTTGGATCCGCATGAATTTGTCCTTGTTTGCAGCTTCCTTGTTACCCCATTCTGGTTGCTGCAATCTACGCGATTTGTCCAACAACTATGCTTCCGCGATCGCCCGCTTGGCACTCCGACTCCGCGGCGACCTGCATTGACTGCCAACAAGAGCGGAAACTGTCATACAACTCTTCAACTAGTCCTTCCTACGCTCTCGATCTTGATGCCGCTAGCAACACTAGCGCAGCGGATCTCCCTCACCTGATCGCGACGCTCCTCCAAGCTGCCAACTTGACAACCGACGATCTGGTAAGCAAAGTAATCCGTTCTTGGACGGTTCCCTTCCGATGTTGGTCCACGATACGCTACCGACAATTCTATGTCCCGAGACCCTGCCGGGAACCAGCTACTATGCGCGATAACTCATGTACACTGTCCGCAAACCGTGCCACCCACGGTCATTGCAGCATCTTCTAGCACGTCGCTGCTCGCACAGCGCGGCCGAACTGCATGCGTGATAGCATCCGGCGCACCCGTTCACGAACCCATCAGTTCGTGCATACACCATCATCGTGATTGTCGCACGAACTAGTAGAACTTTCATACGAGTGCATGCACACGCAAGCATACCTTCCAGAGCCTTCGTCAAGATCCAACATGCTAACTCAGGAACCCAACCCCAGGAAGGAAGTGAACCCTCTGCGCTTATTCTCGGACAATGCCGCACACGCCCGGTCAATACCCGACGCGCGAACACCAGTGTGGAGTGCGAGCTGGGATCTGTTCGAAATTGGCCTTGCCATCTATACGCGGATACCTTCATTGTATACGCATGTACGAGAGCGATCGCGCTCTGTGTCCATCTCCGGCGTTGGCGCGCCCGTCATTCAGTCAATATATTTGATACTGCCCCATCACGCACACGACTCGTTTCGCCAGGCACACCAGCCCGTATGCAGAGACCCGCCTACCCATCGCGTCGTGCCTCTGCGCACCGGTTACGGACTGTCGCGAATCCTCAGTTCGGCCAGCCTCACGTACGGCGTTCCCTGCGCCGCGCGGACGCGAAGCCCCCTCCCTGATAGTTTACATAAAACGAGCTTCCCCTGCTGTGGCGCAGCGCGATCGCCCTCTCCACTCCGTGCGTCGTGCGTTGCAAATCTGCCCGCGAACTCGCCTGCTCTTGTCGTAGCGCACCGCAAGGCCCGCACCTTCCTCCCCTCTGGGCCCGCATTTCCCGCTTCGCCGCACCAGATGCCCGGCGTGCGGTTGATCTGCGAACGGAATCCCGGCGCACGTCCAGCAGCCCAGGGTGGTGGTGAGACGAGACGAGACGCATCATCGAAGTGGATGGGCGCAACGCTGCGCAGCTAGCGCGTTCTTCGGCGTGCGTAGCCACCGATCGAGCCCCGCTCCTTCCTTGCGTACGCAATCCCCCTGTGCGTGCTGCTTCCTAGCTCGCTCGCCGCGCTCTGATCGCCGTGTTTATGGAGCGCGCGACCCTGATCAAGGGTCGGCCTCGTCGGGCAGGCCTCGCCATGTCACCTCGCAATTGCGCTCTGCGGGCGCCGGTCCCCGGAATGGCCGGAGGGCGATTAATGTCATTCTACCCCGATGTCGCATTTGCAGCGCCACGCACGCGCTGGCAGGGGGAGGAAATGGTCATGGTCATGCAGCGTATGTATATGGTGTGCCGTACGAGATGTCGATGAGTTCATCCATGAATCTGTGTGGATTGAGACAGGCCACAATCGATGCTCGCTCGGTATATGCACCGGAAGGCATACTCGCGCTCGCGCTTGTGTTCGTCGTGGTGATCGTTCTCGCCGCAGCCAGGGGCGTACGCTCTTCGATCGTGACCGCGAGTTGCTCGACGAGCGATTCCCCTCCGCCCAGCGATATCAGACTATCTGATGCTTCAAGCGCCAGTCCATGCTTCCCCACCGGTAATCTCGCGCACGCACTACGAAGCGAGTACTACCGCGCGAACGAGTCTTCGTAGGAGGGCCGATCGCACGCACGGGGCCCGGGGAGACGGTGGCGGGCGTCCCAATCTCCTATCTCATCGTGCAATGGTGAAGAAGCGTACACATCCTGTCAACGTCAGCCAGATCCGGCGGACGTCGATAGATGCTCACGCGGGATCGCGGGGACTGCCCCGTGCCATGCATCCGCGGCCCAGCGGGGGCCCTTGCAGACCATCGCGCCGGCCTCTGGGTGTGTGGTCGCTGTAGACGGTGTGGTGCTCTTCGTAAGTACTGTGTCCATCGGTGCGTTTGCAAAGTGGGAGCAGTTGACTGGCACATGTCCAGTTGACGCCCGCTTCGCGATCCGCGGCCTCCAAGAACGTGATCGCGTGTGTGAAAGCGAGTAGCCTTCGGTGTGTGCGCAGGCCAATCACCCAGCTAGGCACGATGCGTGATCCGGATCTGGCATATCATCGACGTGTATCTCAAGCTCGGAGGATTTCGACGCGCGTTATCGCCAGATCGCCGGCGATGCAGGGAGGACCCCGCCGCACGCTGCGAGTGCGTTGCGTGCTGCATCCTCGGCGGTGGGCACGTTCGCCGCTGTGTGTATTTTTCAGCGAGGGTTCCATAACCGCGGTGCCTGTTGTCCCTCGCGGCTCTTAGGTCAAGTAGGCGTTCTTATAGCATGCCTGAGGTCATCGGATCGAAGCTCCCGTAGCCATGGGTGGGCGCCTGGGGCTGGCGACGGGTCGCTCGTCGCTCGGAACACTGGACTACGAAGCTCAATGGTCCGGCCACGCAATGCGACCATTGCGGCACGCGTGTTCGCTTGAACTTCATCGACATCCCTCGCCCCGGTCACCTGCCCCTTAACCTTAAACGCAATGACTAATGGACGTCGCACAGACGTTCCCGGGGCGGTGGTGCGGAAATCGACGTCGAGGAAGCCTGGTCGCTCGCGGAGTAAGACTGCACCGAAGGCTTGCTTATCAGCACGTAAGTCCAGGTACGTGCCACCCAACACCATGTCAAGCGACCCTATTGCGTGCGTGTACGCACGACAAGACATGTCGTCCCGCGATGTCTTGTGCAGAAGCATGTACGTCCTATCGCTATCCGCACGGCAATACAGACCAAGGCCCGCCCATCCCCCAAGCCACTGTCCTGATCAATATCAAAACGTCCGGCGGAGGTCGTGGCGACAAGGACGGTGTCACACGGACCCAGGCCGCGTATCGAGTGACGTGCGCATTGATCCGAGAAGCGTTCAGCTACAGCCACGGCGAGAATGGTCGAGATGTGTTGCGTCCAGTGCTCCTTCTTGGCATCGCACCCTTCATCCACACATGCCGACACGCCGTCTTCCCCAACGTTATCGCGACAATATGATTTAATAACATGACGATGTGCCTGCCGCCTCTTGGTGGCATTAGCCCCCGCCACGACCCCGGGCTCGACCGAGACCACCGCGAAGGCCTAGGTTTGAATGGCGCACGATTGGTGTACTGACGGCAGCCCCATGACAGCTGCCGAGTGACAGATCTCGTCCGATTAGCAATGCCCACTCGTCTGCCGCGCTGTAAGCGCGATTTTCTTGGATGCTTATAATTCCCAAACATGGCCGTACAATGTACGTCGGCATGCCGGCATCTGTCCCTGCACCGCGGAGCTGTCATGATTGAACCCTGTCGTAACTGTAACCCAAAATCCGGCGGCATGTGTTTGCCACCCTCCGCGCTGTAGCCAATGTCTGCACTCGAGGACGCTCGGGGTTTGCGATTGACCATGTTGATTGTGCACAGCGAATGATGGTGGGACCAGTGTACGCCTCCTAGCGCTTGTGTATTACTACGTAGCACAATCGACGCGATCGTAATGCGCGGTGAGCGACCTAGGGACGATCCGGCGTATGTGCACCATAGGCAATATTTTAAGCTTTCACAAGGAGTTGAGGAGGCACCGGGGCGTTGTCGTGCGTGCGATCATGGGGACCGCAAGCACGCGATGCGATGGCCGTCACGTATGCCAACCCCATTTCCCCCGGGGGACGGTGACATAAACGTGGGCGTGGCGAGCCCCTGGCCGACGGCTGGCATCAGAACAGGCATCCGCCACCGGTAACTTGTACGTGAGACTCACAAGTCGGCGGGGCACGATCGCCTGGCTCATGCACGCAGTGTGCGTTTAAGTTCCCCGACATTTCTGGCGGGCGTACAGAGTCCGCCCCCACCCGCGCGAATCGCGGTCGGTGTGTACGCCGAAGAGCATCAAGTACTGAATCAGTACATATGTGATACATGCGCGCCGTAAAAAGACAGCTCATATGCTCGTTCACGTAGAAGCAAATTGTCGAATCACATGGGGTGCAGAGCGTTTTGCGCGCGATTTCGAGCGGTTATAGGGATCGATATTCAATGGTTGAGAAGCTGCACAGCGGTCGCAGGTCGCGAGCGGATCTATGGATTCGGACGTGGGTTCCCACTGGGTGCAGCGATTACTAGTACCGGGAAAAGCTGATGTCGACGACGGAAGCGATCGGAGGCAGCCATCGTCACCGACAACCGCGGCCCCTGTGGTTCGCTGTGTGAACGTCGAGACTGCGATGCACGCGCCGGCGTTCCGTGTTGAGCGTTAGTGTTCCAGAACAACTCGGTGGCCGCTCCAGTGGACGTGACCCATCTCGAACCGATCGCAACACTTTGGAAGCAGGAACACGCTGGCGGATGGTGTTGATAACAGCGGACGGCTCGCTCGGCCAAGATGGACAAAAATGGCGGACTGGAACGGTGCAGGAATGCATCGTGAGCAGGAACGGTACGTGGGAAGGGGACCATCAAATGGACACACTGACACATGGGTCCACCTCTAGACCGCGCCTCATGTCTGTGAGCGTCTAGTACTGAGGCCATCCGCTGAGCGAAGGCATCATGCGATACCGATACTCGACTGCATGTATGCGCGCTACGATGAGGTCGGTGCACCCGTTCATTGTCAATGTCCATCAAGCTACATCTAACAATTGATTACCATGGTCTCGAAAGATAGGCTGACGTGTGGCTGACGTACTAGGATCACGATAAATCAGCCACACACGGTGTCCGGAGGCCAAAGGAGTCGGACGTGCAGTTGCAGCCCAGGCCAGCCGCTACACGTGCGCTTACTGTTGTCCCTGTCCAGTTGATTGTTTCTGCTGACACGGCTGCATCGCGCAAGACTGGCCCAAACCCTTTGGTGCCTTTCCCCCGACACTTGGGCAAGCCGGCATCGATCACTATCTAGTGGGTCAGACCGTAGAGAAGACAGATAACATAAACACCCGTACGACTACGGATGTGAGTCTTCTCTTTTGGCCATTTCATGAGGGTCTGATAGCAGACCAGGGTCGAGGTCGAGTGCGATTTGCGCACTCGATGCACCGGCGCCGCGGAGATAGACCAAACGGGGCTGCGGGCATGCCGTCTGGTCGCGAGTGGTACGTGTTACACCGAAGTGCTTGGCGCAGCTTCTGCGCAGGCTCTTGGTTGCCGGCGCGGAGCTCTCAAGGAGGACCGGTGCCGCGGAAACCGAGGATCGCGACAGCAGAGATAGCTGAATGGCAGGATGATGTATTGGATGGGATGCCAGCGTGGAACAATACAGTCCGGACTGCCTTCTCGTGGTGTTCGATGCGCTACACATGGTCAACAACTTGCCACTGTGCTGCGTTGATAGAACGGCCTCACGGGAGTGTGCCACAAAAGAGAGCTCCGGCCTTGTACTCGAGGCCGGCCAGAGCGAACAGAACATTCTCGCAGTCGAGGTTTTTGCATTGCATATAACGTCTGGCCACCGTACATGAGCTTCCTACTTTCGTCGGGTGGGCAGAGCTTACCCGCGTGAAAAATGGTGCGGCGGAGGACTGTACTTCCGCCCGTGAAAAGTGTGGACGTTCCTGTGGACAAACTAAAACACGAAGGCTACATGGAAGGTCCGGACCATCACAGCGCCCCCAAGGTTCAGCGCGGAAACAGGCAATCCTTATCAAGTATGACGTGCCTCAGAGCGCTGAGGCGCAGTGATCCCTCAATAATGTACAGGTCAACAGAGACAGGACGACGACGATCATGTGCTTACCAAGTCGGGCCCCAAGCTGGACGTCATGCGGGACCATACTCTTGCCGGTCATTATTGATTGGAGGTGGAGCCTGAAAATAAAACAAGTGTTTGTGCAAGGCAGCGCCACACCCCAGGAACAGAAAACACAACCAGCGCTGCATCTGAGACGTAGTAGCCAATGTCCTGGACCTCACGATGGATAACGCGCCCGCACCCGCACCAAGCGACCAAAGCGCTATGTTCGGCATCACGGCGGCTACAGTAGGGGCGTTCACAGTACAGATTCCAGCGCGGATTCCGGGCAGATCTCAGCTCGAATTCCGCGCTGGATTTCGCGCCTCGGTCGATCACCGAGGGTAAATATACGGCATTGTCCGCGCACTGCCCTCTTCGTCAAGGAGCCGCTGGCAGGATCTGCATATTCTTCTCAGCACTCCATTAGCCGAGTCCAGGGGCGCCTAAGTGCGCTAGAGTTAGACTCGTCTCAGAACACCCTGCTGACATGCGTGATCTAACCTTATACACAGGAAAATGGGAATCCCGTTGCAACATTTTGTTTAGAACTTATCTCTGAGCACTTTCACCCTGCAAACCGAGATACAAGCGTTGCTGTAGAATGTCGTAGACAGGATGCTCACCTTCAATAGTAAAATCTACGAGCGCCGGCCGTCATCGGAAATTGCCGGCTGGCAGAAAGTTGCCCGTCCTGAGTCAAAGCAGCCTTCTATGGATTACTCGTGACCGGTGTGTATGATCTTCCGCGAGCACGTTCACACAGATGAACGCCCAGACACTGCGGCGGAGCAAGCACCCGTGCCTTGCCAGCCTATCCCGGAATTGTCGTAAACCGAAACCGAAAATACGTTCAAAATGATCACTCGAGAAGTTCGGCACAAATGTGCGTGTCCTTACCTTGTATCATCTGCCCAGCATTCCCTGATTGCGCCTGGTTAGTGATCTCGCAGCATAGCACCATTTTGCGACTAAGATATCCGCATCTCACCATTAGAGTGCGGTACGTCAAGCTGCGCGGATGAAGAATGTGCGCTGCGTACTCGCCAAGATGTTTCCCGCCTTCATGCTCGCGGACCCGGATGCTGGAACAAATAGGTACACGGTGTCGTCTCGTAATCGGAATCCATGAATGGGTTTTACCTCTGTTACCATTTCTCCATATCATCGGGTCTTCAACATTTTCCGAATCAGCATTTGTCTTGTTGCTTGTATCACCCCTCAACTGCATCGACCTGCAGCCCTGTCACATGCGGTGGGTTCGTCTATACAACATGCTTTTCGATACATATGATTCCTTCTTCTATGAAATGGGCCACATTTGGTTGACATCAAGGATATGATACAATTGGTACTGTCTCGCTGCTCGCATCCATATCTGACTGCGGCAAACCATGCTACAGAAGCCTCCTCTGACCTCGAACAAAACGGACTGTCATACCGAGATCACTTGCGAGCCAGGTCTTCGAGAGGAATATTCACGGAAGTCGGCATGGTCATCGTGCTTCGTCCACTGAAACACCTGGAGTTGAGCCTAGTAGCGATCATCAGAACGCGCAAGGGTGGACTTCTGTCTCATCGCATACGCACAATGCATAAAGAGAATTGACGTAGACTTTGCATCACATGACCGTGGTCAGACAAGCTGGGGACAAGAAACGGTATACATACCTTTAGCGGCAGCGGAGTGAAAGATCTGCCATACGAAAACGTCCGGGGCGAAAGCGCGCCACTAGGCCCGTGCGAGTGATGAGATCAGGGGCATCCACAGAGATATTCTCTCACAGTGATGAAATGCCCGAGTTCTAGGATTCTGACACGGGTGTGTGAACACGAGTCGTGAGGCCGAGTATGCACCACGTGCGTAGTTATGAGCACGCAGTTCACTATGATGACCGTAAGCCTGTTGAGCAACCTCTCTGTGCTGTACAAGTCAGTGAGCGCCCGCAAAAGTAGCCCCCGTAGCCACCTTTTCAGCCCGGTGTGTTTGTCTCGCAAAAAGATTACGAGTGTCGTAGTAGTGATGATATCCGCAATTGAAGCGGACACGGTTTGTAGAGGTGCTGCTATCTGTAGTTACACAGTGAGAATGGAAGGAATACTACGTATTTACGAATGTACCTTAAGCCGGGCATACTCATTCGCCGAGATCCCGTGTACACAGCTGACAACTAGCATATACTTTTAGCGCAAATACAGACTAAATTGGCACTCACGCTATATACACCCTCACTATAACCACGCTCCATAAATGTTCATTGTTAAAGTTGAAGATTCCAAGTGCGTACCAAAGCCAGATGCTGACCCAAAACAACTAGATAAGTGACTTGAATGTAGGGGGAACATAAATGGCACACCACATGACATGATTGCAAGGAGGATCTCATTTCCACAGACATCAAAAAACTCGGAAATCTGGATCAAAGAATGGATCATACCGTGGCAACAACGATGACTGGCCGATACCACATATTTGCAAGTACTGATGAGACGCACGGCATCAACTATCCGCTATCCTCGTAGCTGAATGTATCGTCGAAGGCTTACAGTACCAAATGTGATAGGCATAATAGCTGCAAATAACGTCAACAGGGACAGTAAGAGATATGACTCGGACATACCACTGCACTATCAAGACATTGATAGTCTTCAGATTAGAGAGTAGGAGCCGCAACTTCAGTCTCCAAAAACTCACGGACAGACTATAGTCGACCTGCAGGTTGTGTCAGCGATACACACCAGAGGGCAGTTCAGGTCGCCTACCAATGCGGCGCTATATTTGAATCATCATGGTGAGACATAGTATGTTGTAGCACTGTAGGAATGATCACAGACCTGCTCAACACAATTGCTGCAGAGATTTCAGCATGCGATGTCACAGTAGCCTTCCAGATGGCCTGTGATCGATATTCAGAACTTGACATGGTGGAAAGTAGATATACCTTTACCGCGATATCCGACATGGTGATTCCAGTATCCAAAATCCTGGTGGCCTTCATGAGTGAAATCCAAAACGTACAGGTAAAAGTGACATATTCTTACCACGTAAACACAACCTTGCGACAGAGACGGACGCCTCAACATACAAACTGCATCGTATCGCGACGTAATAAATCGTACCAGCGCCTTGATATGCCACTTGTCACGCGAGTAATGACGGCAATAGTAGAAGAATTGACCGCATGTCACTCCCCAAAGTCTGTGCGATAAGTCTTGAGTCAGTTCGAATCTCAAGGATAAGGAGTAATGAATTACAAAACAGAGAAAATAAGTGCTATATAAGCGCAGCCAATATTCAGTGCCAGATGCAAGTTCGACCCGGTCATGGCACAGAAGATAGAGATTTCTGGGGGGATTTCGGGGAGAGACAGGACCCCTTGCCTTTAGGTAGTACAGGAAACGCACTTCAATCAGAGGTTGTATTTAGTCTGATGCCTTTGAGATGGCTTCCTGTCAAATGCGTTGTATACAGGACTATATCACAAATCTGTCTGTTTCATAAAGTTGAGACAGGCTTCTAAAAGCCCTCGTTGCGTCGGAGTATTTCACGCCGATAGGGGAAGGCGATGTAACATGACATGCGGCGCACGACATAGTTGGAAAACGTGATGACGCCGTCATCTGGGCGTCCATATGCCACCCTGATATTTAAAATCAGTTTCTGCAGTGCCCAAAAGGTGAGATTCCTTTGCCGAGACGTCCCCAGCCCCGCTGAGCGGAGTACATGGCAAGTCTGCGTTTGGGCATTGCGCAGACAATGACCGAGGCGCGAAATCCAGCGCGGGATTCGAGCTGAGATCTGCACGGAATCCGCGTTGGGATCCGTACTGTGAACGCCCCTAGTGGCGCACTCGGAGCCGTCTCAACAAATCCGACTTGGCTCTCGTGCCATGTCCTGGCATCCTGGCGCATAACCAGATGGGTGTATGCACCTGCCTTCCGCTTTTCTCCCCGTCTCGACACAAACAATCTTGAAGTCCAAGCGCTTTGCGGGGCACGAAGAATGATGTGATGTTCTTCGGCAGACTCGCAGCGACCGGCTGCCCTGCTGCAGCTTCCAACGCGCATGGCAGCGGCCCACACTTCCGCCCACCAGCAATACAACAAAACGTCTTCGTACTAAAAAAATAACGCCTGTAAGTTGCCGAAGTACATTCCAGTAAATGCACGCCGACAAACATTACTCCGGCTTGCAGTCTGGTCGCAGGTCATTTTCAGGATGCCGCCGTGCTCTCCCCCTGCTTACGTACCTCGTATTGACGAGGGCTACGAACTGCGGATACCTCCGTACGTCAATCCACCACCAACTTCCGTGGAATCCAGGGTCTCTGATGTCTCCTCCACGCCACAGAAATACCAGGAAGGCCAAAAGGTAGCGCAAGTTCTGCCAGTAGGGCGGAGGTTCCGAGTGAAGACGAAGATGACACGATACACTCACGCAACCTGCTTTCAAGGCCTCAAAATGTTGTCCTGAGCTATGTTTCACACATAATACAGTCACGCCGAAATCTTACGCTCTGGCACCGGGAGCACCGTGATCGTCGCGCTACCGCGCCACCCGGCCGACAGAAGAAGCCAGCTGTTCTCGAGCGCAGTACGGGGGTCGCTCTAGGATCGGGTGCGGACGAATCTCGATCTTACGCATGGCACCGCGGCAGAGTTGCGCCGCGACGACAGCAACAGGCGTAGAGTGTCTGATGCGGCTTCTACCAGCACCGGATACAATGCAGTTCCATGCAACCTATTCCCTGCTGCCCGCGAGGGTGAGGCGAGGTGGTCCTGCGCTTTGTGGGGTAGGGGACTCGGGCGTCGTTCGAGGAGAAACATCGTGCACATGGATGGTGGACAAAGCCGCGATGTGCGCCACGAGCCGGCTCGGGACCTAGAAACCCTCATGTCATGTTGGTCGCTTAGCCCTGGCGAGCATATCTGAGATGGCCGTAGATGGCCGTCTGACTACAACGAACACCACTGCGTACCGGGTGCTGTATCCGGCGCTTCGGACCCTATACCGCCAGGAACGCTTCGTCGCTATCAGTGCTCCGGAGTCGAGACTATCCGCGGCGCAAGGAGACATCACTCCGCAGCCTTGACCGCCCTGTCACTGTTGGCCGTCGAGTTGGTTGTAGACGTTACGAGGTGGACTAGATGCTGGGCATAACAGCGATGCCCACGAGAAATACGCGAAGGGCCCACGGACCGCTGGTATGCGCATAGAGCAGCACACGCCGCCACAAGCCTAACGACGACGCCATCCAAGTTTGCGAGACGGCGCAGCCCATTATGCGCGTTCGTGGCGCTGTGTCGACAGCAACAGAACTAGCGGCCCCAGCGAACCCACAGCTTATCGCCAGTCACGCGTCCCAGCCGCGAAGGTGCGCCGGATGCTGAGTGCTCACGCGGTGTGTTCAAGGCACAAGTAAATCGCCGCTCTACGTGCTGACAGCGCGCCAACGCGCCGGTGCATGCTCCGCGATGCGTACGGGACCGCACGAGACAGCTACCGAGCGCACGGCTGTCCAATCTGCGGCAGCAACGTTTAATGTACATGCCGTTTCCGAAGACCAGGCTGTCTGTCGGAGCCCGTGTACGACCGCATTCGCCGAGACACCCAGCGTCAGCGGAGCCGACAACTTGGATCGTCAAGAGTTCTGGACGGCGGTCTCTGAGAAGGGTTGCTGTGATGCGTTTTCCCACCGCCCCTCACCCTCCCCCGAGGCGAGACTGTTCCTGCCCCCACGCGAGGCACTTCCTAGCGGTTCGATAACCATGTGCGGCGGCGAGGAAGCGGGTGTCATCACGTACGCGCAGCAAGCGCGAAGTGAAGTCCAGCAGCGAAGACGCGGTCGATCTATGGAGAAATGTGTCAACGCAGCTCCTTGCTTCGGAGCATGGCAGAGGAAGAGGGGTCGCTGCCAGATGACGCTCCTAAGACGGCGTATTATGACGGCAACTCACGGCGGGGCGCGGTCACCCATGGCCCCCAGTAAGACTACGAGGCTGGAATGTCTGGGGCCCTTCGTACGCAGACACCGGGGGACTGCTTTCCAGCCGAGCGCCGATGTACAGACCTGCCGCTGAATGATATATGAAATTGCGGCCAGTTCCATGATTCCGTACCGGATTGTGGCAGCTCGCCACACCACGCGCTCAAGAAGACGTAATTCCACTTGATGGACGCACTCTAGAGGGCTCACAAGACGGCTGAGCCCGATGCTGTTCTCCATAGGTGGGCATGCGACGGAGGCTGTTTGCATACCCCACAAGGTAACTGACCGCCACCGACAGGGAGAAGGGCATTGGACTCTGTGCCACCATAGCCAGTCAGGCGGCGTTGTCTGAGATAACACTAGGATCATTTGGACGGTCGGTTGATCACGACCTTTGATCACTGACTAGCGGGCTTGATGTTTGCCACAACGTCAAGACAATGCAGTACTATGAACTGACCGCGACAGTCTCCTTGATGTATCTGCTATCGACTGGCAAGGATACGGGGAGATTCGGCCCGCCCGGGTGATAACTACCAGCCTAGTTTTGGTGTTGAGCAGGAGCCTGCCAATAGAGCCTACGGAAGAGGCCGTCGCTCGGCGGGGACATCATATTTTAGCTCGGCGGGAAAACGTTTGGCCGCTATAGTGGAAGAGGAAAAGCGAGAAGAGTGTGGCCGCTAGTGCGCTAGTGGGAGTAAGGGGACGATGGATACGCGTCCACGTACGGTATATAGCTCGGGGCCCGTGTGGCAGTCTTAGCGATAGTCCAAGACCAGATTCTCGGACGTCGGCCTACGGCGGCCAGCACCTGTCTCAATGCTAGCCGCTAGCAACGAGCGCGGCGTCCGACCAGCGCGCGACCCACGACCTACACATGCCTTTGCGGACGGCCAGCTGCTCTACGTCGAGGCCGCCGCCGGCGACGGGGAGCGCGCCCTTCCACGCGCCGTCGGGCGGGCGCTCTTCCCACACAAGCCCCACGGCCTCGGCAATCTGCAGGAAGCGGTCGCACACGTGGGGGGGCGTGTACGTGCCCGCGGCGACGTACGCGCAGGCTCCGGGGGCGCGGCGGAGGAGGCCGGCGAGCGAGGCGAGGAGGGCGTCATGCGCCCGGTCAAAGTGCAGCAGGTCGGACAGGATGACGGTGTCGAAGCCGTCGTGCCCGGCCGGAAGCAGCGCCCTGCGTGCGAACGTGAGGATCGCGTGGAGAAGACCGCCGGGTAGGGACAGGCGGACTCACAGCAGCGGAGCGACGTCCTGCCCCCACTCATATCCGCGATAGTGCACTCTGCACCCGTCGGAAATCGCCTGCTCGTTCCGCTCCACGTTTTTCTCGAGGTTGCCCAGGATCGTGGCGTCTGGGTAGTCGGTGATCACGACCAGAGACGGCGGCGGCGACAGCGTCGACGACAGGAGCGAGGGGAGCGCACACCCGGCCCCGAGTTCGACGACTGCCAGGGGTGTGTTGAATTTTGTGGTCGTTGGCTTTATCACATACAGAACTCACTACTCTGGCCACTCAAGTGAATGAGACCCCGCTCAATCTGCTCTGCGAGCAAAAGGGACGGTGAAAACAGATGATCGGCGAGCAGTGTGTTGGCCTGGCGACATCTCGTCATTCAGACATTTATCTTTGAGTTAACCACGTCCATTTACCTTGCCTTCCTACCACACACGCCCGTCAATCTTGTTATACCTCATCCTGACTGAAAATCGAGTGACTCTACCTTGGGTGCGACGGTCAGAACAAGCTGTCCATAGTGTATCGTGCCGTCGTCATCCAAGACGTCGCCAAAGAGCGCTGCCGTGTCCTCGAGCACGTCGTCCATCGTGGTGGCCAGCGTCGAAGACGATAAGGCGATCACGGAAGCGGGCGCATCAATTGATCGGCGAGGGCAGTCGCCTACAACCGTATTAGGAAGGCCCCACCTTGAGATCAGGTATAGGCTTTCACCTAATACTAGCTCCACCAGGTGGCTCCCACAGCCCACGGCCTTCGCACGACGCACACCCACGTCAGATAACGCTCAGGGACAAGGAACGATGGCGCAGGTCGCGGAGCTTGCATTGATTGTGTATTTGGACTCTACCGCAGCAAACATGATATAACGAGGGAGGCTGAAGTAACGAGGATCGCAGCACTGGATCTCCTGGGACCAGCCGCGGAGTTTTGCAACTACTCAGGCTACATACAGCGGCTAGATACGCGATGCGCACATTACCAGCACTCTCCCATGCATCATCACTACTACCACGGTGCCCTGAAGCTACTATGATTCGCCGCAGACCCTCCGGAGAGCTGTGCATTGCAAACAGTAAAGTCATCGTCAGCGCCAGACACAACAGCACACGCACCTCCTGGTTGATCAGCCTGTGCACGTGGCACAAGTCTGTCGGAAACTTGGTCAGTACGTGACGTCGCGCGGAGGGCGAGACAGGAGAAGACGCACAGTCGAGGTACGACATAGCGGCATTGTTCTGGTCCTCGACAAGCATGTCGCTGAACTCGATCTCCGCGGCGTCCATGTTCCGCCGCGCTATCAGAAATTTCGGCGTCCACCCGCGCTGTGCGCGCCGGTGCGCGAGGATGTTGTGCACCTGCATCGACAGCCGCGTAGGGAGACGTGGGAGCTGTGTCTGTGTCAGGAGGCACGAGGCATCTCAGCAGCGGTTCTAGATTTTCGGAGGGGAGACGCCACTTACGAGATGTGTGTCGACCTGCATGAACTCGTCGACGTCGAACAGGTCCTTCAGCAGCCGCGGCGAGGCGTCCGACCCGATCCAGAGCACCATCATTTCCTCATTGTCTGCCGGAGTCACGTCAGCATTATGTACTTGAGCCATTAAAAACACGCAGTACCGATAAGATAAATCCCGTATGACTCCATGAAGATGTAGCTGTCGCGCATAAGAGACGGAAGGCGGATGCGCCCCGTGTTCGCGTCGGGCAGCGCGATGGTGTCGTCGAGGTCGTGGAGTGCGAGTAGCCCGGGATACAGATGCTGCATGATCGCGCGCACGCTCATGCCCCGGACCTTGTGTGAATGATAGTTGCGTACGTCTGTCGTGACGTTTCGCCCTAATGTAACGTGCATTAAGTGAAAGTACGCATGCATAGGATTGTGAACGGACCTTTCAATGACTTTGTTTTAAACATGGCCAATGTGTACAGCGGCAATGCTCGGAATGCCTCGGGGATGATCAGCTGTGCGAAACCAGCATGTCAGCCCCGCTCGTTTCTCTGAGAAGCATCCAGCACACCTGTGAAGCCTGCGCATTCGCGGCACATAGTCTTCGATACCCGAGCAGCACGGCCATACACTTCTCCGTCAGCCGCTCCTGGATCTTCGCAATTCTATCTCTGGACATCTGAGACACTCCTGCACCTGCTGTGAGAACGCTCAATCATCCGGGCCGCCACCGCACGGACTGACCTTCGCGGACCATATGGCTCACAACCGCCTCCATGTCAGCGTAACGGAAGACGCTGCCAGCCAGCGACGCCACCTGTAGACCCACGTTGCACACACGCACGCGGCGCTGCCCCGCCGCCGTCGTATGTAGCACGGCGCTCTGTAGGAATGCGAACGTCGAGTCGTTTAGTGTTCCTGTGTGCTCCAAAGAGACCGAGACCGCCTTGTCCGCATCGAACGTCCCGAGAATGAGGTCCGACGTCGGGCCCTCGTAGAAATTGCCGTAGTGCTGCGCCACACGCAGGCCTATAGGATGTGAGTATCGACATCGCTTCGGCGGGAGGCTGCAAGCCGCGTACCGTTCGAGCAACGCACGCGCATGGCACACGAATAGGCCGTCGTGCGGCTCAGCAGTCTGTGTAACTGCGAACGCAGGACCGGGCCGTCGCGCGCAGGGTCAAAGCGCGGATGGAAGAACAACTCGCCGCCGGTCAGCGACGACACGATACCTGCAAACGCACGATGCACAGTCAACAGACACCTACGCTAAGATGCATATCGCACTCACCAACAGATGCCACATCAATGGGCCTGCTCTGGCCCAAGAACATGCTGACGCCAATACCCTCCTCCGCGCATTGAACGGCTAGGTCTTCCCAGGTCCCGTGCCGTGGGGTAAACAGTGTCTTCTCCTTGTCTGTGCCGTACAAAGTGGTGTCATCGTCGGGAGATTTGAGCGCTCCCAAGCCGATCGTGGGGATCACAGCGGCAAATACGACCACTTGCCCGCCACTGCCTGCCTGAGATTCGAAATGAATGTAAAACTACACCACAGGCTTCAAATACGTACGAGAGCAGCTAAACAGGCTGCCAACGCTGAGCCCAGTGCAGCTTCGGTCGTTATAGGTCGCCCATCTGGTGAGCCGAGACCAGCGAGCAGATTGGTAATTGTCTGGCTGGATGGGTATGAGGAAAAGTGTAAATCTGCAGAGGATGACCTACCGGCACGCTTGCGGGTCGACGAATAAGCCGTTCCGTATAGGAACATATATATCCTCTAGATCAGGAATAACAAGCATACTAGCGGTATCATTTGCGCGTGGCTGAACTTGCCAGATTGCAAGATTTTACGGACGCTTATGAGTTGCAAGACGTCACGCAAAGAATAATGGCACATAGCGTACTGAGAGATCGTAAAAATGGATCGTCCGATCATACGTAATGATACAGATCTTGCTTTCGGGCGGTATACACAAGCCCGATTTGGTGTCGCCTTCCGACTGGGAGTTGTACAGAACACCAAGCAGGTTCATACATGCTGAAAGCGTGAAACCTGACTTGATGGCATCCATGGAGACGTCCAGGGCGAAAACATAAAGCATGGGCTTGGGCTGCCGCCGTCCGGACTTCGGCGGGGTAATGACAGACTGGAACAGGGGAGATATGCGCGGTGGCGGGTCTACTGCCCAGTACTCGTCCGGAACGACAAAATCTATGGTCCCCTTGTTGAGTTCAAGACGCTGCATGTGATCTAGCCTGTTCAAGTTTGCATCCAGGTTGCAAAAGTACTCCGGGGCGACTGTGAGATAGCGAAGTGCAAGTCAGATACCCTGCGAACTGGAGTGTGCATAAAGATGCATAATGCTCCCGGCAGATGACGCAGAGCGTGCCAACAAGCGTGATCAATCCCCGCATGCGTGATTGTAAACAAATGCCCAATGAAGAAGAGGTCGTGAAGACAGCGGGAACACACCTTCGGTCTCATGAGAGCACAAATTGCACTTCCACCTCATCCCGCCTGCTACCCACTTGCACCACGGATTGATGTATGCTCGACATTGCGCACAACGTGCGGGACCGACATCGCCCGTTTCGACTACCGGAACGGGCTCCTCTTGAGGGTCCTGATCTGAGAAAGGCTGTATAATAGCGGCGAGAGGTATACCACAGTCCGAAGCAAGACGGGAGGTGCTCGGAACATTCCAGGTGGACACGCGCATATACCTGGGCGATGAGTTCCCTGTAGTCCTTCAGGAGTCAGCCCGACTCATATGAGGAACGAGCTCACCTTGGTCAATAGCTACGTAGTCCGAGGTGGACAGCGGGACATGGCCGCCAGGCAGTGTACCATACGTCTGGTCCTCCCATTGCTCCTTGTCATCTTCGATGGTGTCCAGGGGCGAGGGTATAGACGTAGGTTCGATGGCAGCGCGCAGACCTTTGAACAAGTAGTAAATGGACTGTTAGAAGCATGCAGAACAGGAGCAGACGTGCCCTTGAACGGAAGTCCTGCGCTGTGTGGTGGCTGCGGGATGGGAGAGGTCGGCGACAGAGGAGGAGCCATTGCCAAGCCCCCTTTGCTTCCGGGTTTCCTGGCTTGTCCCACGGTTTATACAAAGATGAAGCAGAGTGTTCACAGCCGTTCAACGAAACCAGAGACAATAGCGGACTGTACGCAGTGCTACCGCGGGAGTTGACTTTGTTTACGGGTCCTTCCACGGACCACCACAAACAATGTTTGGCGCACAACCAGCACGGTCCCTGCGCAGTCCAAAGCAAAATCGCTGAGATTGCCCTAAAGCACTATATGATATTAATGTAAGGACAACACGAACCGCAGGCTGCATGTACACATGGAAAAGGACTATAAACACAGGTAACAATCTAGACACTATAACTACCATATCTAGTCAATGCGATACTTACAAGCCGGACCACGAATACTATCAATACAAATGTGAAGCACCGACCTCCAGCAAATTTATAGCAGTGAGAAAGTAGGATCTGTATGGAACATGGACAGCGTTAATGGATGAAACACATCGTGCGAGAGACCAATCATAGCAGCATTGTCGGATATTACTAAAGTAGTCTGGTCAAGGCGCCTCAGCTCAAGTTAACTGGCAGCAGGAGGAAAAGCTTACGATTTGCGTGCAGCTCAGTGGCATGGATCAATGGTTACGAAAAGAGTGTGATGTTCCTTAGAAGTTATTAACCACGTCCTCACGTCTATCTCGGACATAAAAAGAGTTCGCCCTCTCTTCGTCGTCCATCGGGGATGCCTTCCGTTTGATCGAGCGACGCTTGACCTTCTTAATAGGCGATGGTATAATGAGGAATCCTTTGGGGACACGAGAAGATGCAGGCTGTACACTCATGCATGCAGTGGCAGCACTAGCCGCATCACTGAGTACGGATGGTGGAGTTGAAGGGCGAGGAGAAGCTAGCACTGCCGCATCAGGAACCGTTTCAGCTGGGAGGACAGGATCTATCTTCTCGGGGCTGAGTGCAAAGCTGGCGAGGTCCTGGTCGCCAAAAGGATCGTCCAGAGTGCCGTCATAAAGCGTAGACTCGGCGCGACCAGGACCTACGTCGGTATATCCGAAATCTATACTGCCGTCGTGCTAGGCTTATAGCAGTGTCAATGCACGAAGAGCATAGAGTATGAACCGCACTCACGCGATCGGCAGAGTCTCGAGTTGCATTCGATGGACCATCTCCCATGAAAATGTCTTCGGTCTGGCCCTGCATTGCAAACGCCTTCGCATTCTGCGATTCAGACTCCAACAACGAAATGCGCTGTCTGAGGCTATCAATCTCTGCACTCTTCAACTCAACTTCCATTTCCGATGCGGAGCAGCGATCCCGCAGGCGCTGCAGCTCGTCTTGCTGTTCGGCATATCGTGATTTCCAGACTTCGACATCCTGCTCCCTCGCAGCAGCCAAGGCACTTTGCTCCCTGATGCTCTTATCTGCGTCCACACGAACCTGCTGAATCTTCGCCTGCGCCTCCACTTGCGTTAAGTTGACACGCGTGAGTGCAGCTGTGAGAGCCTCCGCCGCCTTCGCGCGGAATTGGTCGTACTCGCGTTCGCGCGTTCTTATATCCTGTAGCAGCGATTCGCGAACTTTTTTCTTCTCGCTCTCGATAATGGCTACTAGCTGGTCGGCGCCTCTCATGAGTGCAGGAGATGGGGTTGAAGGCGGTTGCTCGAGACGCGTCGCATTGTGGGGCTTGAAAGCGCGTCGATGACATGACAACCAAGGCGAATGTTGCAACTCACGGGTGGACCAGGCACGTTTTGATTCATTGTATGTGTAGGCGTGAAGCAGGAGGCGGAGAGTCGGAGACAACCTGCCTGCCTGTACTGTGATGGAGACGTGATGAAGACGCGCCGCGCTTCGCGGGAAGCGGCGCGTGATCAGACTGAGACTGCATGCAAATGCGCGGACTTGCCGTCGTCTTGATTCGAGATCTACCGCAAGATATAGTTGAACGCCCCATCGTGTAGGCCTTAGGACAAAAGTTTCCTATCACTCAAGTTCAGAAGAGGAAACAATAATATTGCATATCTAGTACACGAATGCATAGGTGCAGGGCTACAAACAGTTGACACATCGTAGTCGAAGATCATGCAGTCAGTGAGCGCAATGCTGTGAATAGTGGAGCGTGCCGCCATGCACAAGTGTGAACGCTGTAGATTCGCCTTTGTATTGCCGAATAGGAAGGCCAACGAACCGAACAGATAAAGTGGGAAGTTGATGGAGTGATCGTGAGTCCAAGGGAGGGCGCATCGAGACAAGCGTAAAGAAGGAGCGACGTAGAGAGGCGAATAGAACCTGTCGATAGCATTAGTCTTGATAAATGACTTGGAGGGCACGGAAGACACA